TTGAATTAGAGTATAATGAATGCTTCCTCTCCACTATGTCAACATCGGGGAGCTAGCTCAGATGGTAGAGCGCTCGCTTAGCATGCGAGAGGTACCGGGATCGATGCCCGGGTTCTCCAACTGTGACTTCTTTTGTTCCCTTACACGCATTTTCGTATTCATGATCAGTATAACCAGGGACATGACAGGTTTGGGCCATGGAAATACATTGCTAGAAGGGGAGAGAACATCACATTTTTTTTGCCACAAGATCATTTGATTTTAAATTCAACATTATCTGACAATCAATTTGATTTAATAGGACATGGTTGTGAATTTGGCATTGAGATCAACAAGCGACACAGATGTAAAGGGGGAATGGATTCCTGTTAGCTATCAGCTGCTGCGACCGAGTCGGAGATCCTTTTCTATATTCTCAAAGAAATGCTAGGCCTACTATCTTGTTCTGCATTTTCAACACAATATTAAGTAATATACAAACTAGGAGATATAATATGATCAACAAAAGTTGAAATACATATCACAATAAAAATTAATTAAATAATAATACCCTTTAAAAAACACATAGTTGACAAATCATTTCAAAATTGAAAATGCAGGTGATCGTGATGGTTCACGTTCAAGTTGAATTGAATTGAATTAAATTTATTTTCTTCTGGAAAAAAACATACATATCAAATGAAAGTACATTTTGACGATACAACACATACAAAATATAACTTTTTAAAAAAACGTATACACAATATGTTAATACTAGAAATGTTGGCATCAAAACAAAAAGTAATGTAAGTTGAGACTGCTTGATAAGGGACTTTGTAAATTAGACTGATAATCGCTTCTAATGTTCAGATAAAGCGGGTTCGCCTGGTACATGGTTGCGTTAAAAAAAGGGGGGAATTCCCTCACGATGACAAATCTATATCCAGTGACGTCATACGCGTGTAAAATGTACAAGGCATGTCTCGTCGAGCCAAATTCCGGGAACTGTGGTAAAACCAAATGAGATCCGTAAGATAATTATGTCTGATCCTGGCAATCTTACATTAAAATGACGGTCTACAGAAACCAAAATCCTCTTAGTAGACCGAGTAGATTTCGCGAGACAACTTAAACCACCCCCCCCCCCCATTTCCCATATACATCCAGTAGTATAATTAAATTATGAGCATATAGAATAATTGTGATTTCGAATAAAGCCTATATTTTACAATCATAATTTAGGGCAATAGGTCTGTAAGTCAGAATGGCAAATGTGGCTGATAGGCCGGGTTCATAACCATTGGAAATCCAATCTTCTTTTCTCTAGCCATAGCGTCTGGCTACAATGCTGGTATATCTTTGCTACAATGCTTTATTTTCAGGTTATAAAGCATCTTTCCCAGTCTAATGTCATACCATCTCAGTACTATAGTAGGTCCATGGTCATACCCCTCGCCCATTTCTGGTATACTGGCAGAAACTGGTGGTACTAGATCATCGGGCGTGGCATGACCAGGGAGGCGACACATTGCCATGGTAACAAGATAGTATGATCTACCGATGAACTTTCAAGCCCCTCATTTCATGCTCCCTGTTTCATGTGATGCAACACACTGTATAGCCTTGACACTAACGCGAGGCATATAGGAATGCTGGTAGAAATGGAGATGCAGGCAGCCCTGAACCGCTGGCTGTGCGCGTGCAGGCGACGAAAACGTGCATGCTTTCTTCTCGTCTGGAGTCCCGCCCACGGACAGGCGATTAAAGGTGCATTCCAACTTTCACGCTAGCCGCCGGCCAGGGCCTCGCCTATATTATAACATGTCCTTGTTCATATGAATGAATATTCGTGTCATGAAGAAGGCGACATTCAGAGAGTCTAAAGAAAGAAACGTTGACAAAGATGATGAAGAAATAGAAGAAGAAGAAGAAGAAGATGAAGAAGAAGAAGAAGAAGAAGAAAGAAGAAGAAGAAGAAGAAAAAGGAAACGAAGAAGTAGTAGAAGAAGAAGAAGAAGAGGAAGAAGAAGAAGAAGTAGAAGAAGAAGTAGAAGTAGAAGAAATATAAGAAGAAGTTACTTCACTGAACGGGAAGAGGGAAATAAAATTGGAAATGTATATATTTCAGATGACGGGTTACGGTAGACCTATAATGGAACGGGGTAAATGCACTTTTACCGCGAGTCCTTCCACTCACGTTGCGCGTGTTGCTCGTGCTGTGACAACATAGCACCCTGCAACTCGATCCCATTCGCTAGAAACCCAATATAGGTCATGTCAGCTCAGGGAATCCAGTCTCATGTGTCATCAACATGTTGTTGATTGTGATGTGACATATCAATCCGTCATGCCGTATCCATTGTCTATACCATGCCATGTCAGACAGATATTCCATTATGAAAGCGGATCTGCTCCCCCCCCCCCCTCCGATGATCCCTCTGCAAATCCCTCCTCATAATACATGCAACAATATCAATGCCACTTATTACCATAGGCTCCGTATGGTAAGATCCGAGGGACGTGCCATGAAATCATTTCCTATAGGTTCGTTCCTTTCACCATCCTTTCCCTTCTCCGATCCGCTTTAAATTGGGCTATTTCATATTTTGTTCCGAAACTTGAAATAAATAAGAATCATTATACTCATTTGTAGGACATCAATAAATATGAGGTATGAACACAAGAGATTATTATAATGCAAGTTCACACCTTATTTTGAGCTTCTGCGCCTTTATAAATGAAATGAAATGAGGATAATTTCTATTGAAATGTCGGACCCAAGAACGTATTTCTAAATAGGGAGAATATCAAATATATTATATAGGCCTATATAATTATATATATTAAAAACCTCTTCCTCAAATTTGAAAAGATCCTGACGGAAACTAGATATCTCTTTTACTTGACCTATTATGCAAGTTTTTTTGTTATCGGTCATGACATTGTATGTGATTAATAATGGTATGTATAGGCCCACTGTATAGGCCTATCTGGTGTGCCAACAGGAAATGGCGATTAGCGGACAACATTATACAGGCCTATAAGTTCACTTCCTTATTTCCCTGTTATAATAAATAGCACAATGATAATTATCGCCATATTCCAATCATTCTGTCTAATGCCAGTGATAATATGACAACATCATTGCAAGTCTATTCGGTAATTTAGTAAATGCTCTTATTTATAGGTAAGCATAATATGCTTTCGTCATCATTGTGAAACACTTTGCCACCTGTGCAACGGAGAAAGTGGTAACACCCCTTTAATATCTTGGCGATTTCGCAATACTCAGCTCCACGTGGGTACAGGCAAGAACTGGTTGGAAGCAGATCTTGTTTGTGACAACGGTCAAACAGCTGTTCTGTCTATGGCTTTCATTTTCATTCATGCTTCGCTCTCGCCCGTTTGCGGTTTTCCCTCCAAGGCGTTTTGGAGTAACGTAGTCTATAATACAAACCGCAAATTTTAAGTCGATTGAAATGTAGTTAGATTTTCTGTTCATTGTTGTTTATTGTGTTCTATGGTAACGCAAATGATGACACGTTACGTAATTTTTTTGAATTTTTTATTACGTAGTTGGCGTCTCTGAGCTGGTAGATTATGTAGAATTAAAAATTTATTAGCTATAAGTAAGAATACAGTTTGATCATTTAGACTATTATAATGAATTCGTAGATATGATGCAATAAGTTGTTCTGACAGATCGAGAAGAGAACAATGAGGGAATTTAGAGGGTTTCCATGTGAGTCACGAAGGCGTGTGCTCTGGAGCGTGGAGAGATGAGTACATTACTGCCAGAGGGGTGTGGCAGTGCCATAGCAACAGAGGGACGAAGATATACGCTATACGGATAGAAGACGAAAGAGATGGAGATAAAGAGACAAATAGAGAAAGAGAAAGAGAAAGAAAGAGAGAGAGAGAGAGAGAGAGAAGGAAAGAGAGAGAGAGAAAGAAATAGAGGGGAAAAACGGGGGGGGGGGGGTATTTTTTTAATTTTTTTAAATATATATTCACGTTCTAGTTTCATCCAAGTTGTTGAGGAAAAAAGACGCTAGGCCTTAGCTTTAATAGTTAGGGGTCACCAAATATGAGCTAAGAGAGGGAAAAAAAAGTAAGAGAATCGGACTTGTAAGTCGAGGACTAGCTACCTAGTCCATCAGTTTACCCTATACAAAACTACAAGCAGCTAAAATTAAGTAGGTTATTAAATATCACGAAATAGTGAAGTAATGGGGATCTCAGATAACAAAAAAGAAGAAAAAGACAGAAATTGAGAAATCACTACGATCTCGAGGGTCCAGTGGTCACATTGCTTCTCTTTACGTACAATGTATACGAAGACTGGACTTTGCCCTGGTCAATGGCTGTAGTGATTATGGTCATCATGTACTAGTCTAGATGTAGAAAACACGGGCAATGGGCTATGGGCATGCACAGAGTCAATTACCATAGTATATGATTTGTCAACTATGTACCGAACAAATCAGAGTAGAAAAAATGACAAAAACCGAATCATCTTTTTTCTGTAGAGTTAAATAATACCACAAATCCATTGGTGTATATGGAACCCCCCCCCCCCCCCCAGAAAGAAAAAACCTACATCACTGTACCACGGAGTTACCTATTACACCGTTCCCCTCAGTACGAAGTGCGAAATACATTTCATTCCACCCCTCACAACAGAACACAGTGGAATGGAGCTGAAGAGCAATTTGATTGGACAGCAATCCGACCGCCCACTTCCTAGGATCGATATGAATATTCATTATAGCAGCTCGAGAGAGAATAAAATGGCATGTCGCCCTGTTTCACATGTCATTTTAGAGTCCAACATTTCACTGGAAGATCTCATTTTTCAGCTGATGTGCCTTATCCATGGTCTCTTGGAAATAATTAACTTCAAACCTGGGTCCATAGTGTAGGAATCTACCATATTAGGTAAGTTTGGAGCTATTTCTGCGTTATTTATTAGCTCACATCTGATATTTTAGTGTACGGGTTCCCTTGCTTCATCGCTCAGCTGTCTTGCGATCAGCTGTTTTGGGACCAGCTGATTATAACGATTGCCTCATCTTACTATGTGTGCCGTGCGGTAAAGGGTATCGCGAAACAAAGAGCATGTTCGATTCTGGTTCTCTGCCGTCCGAATTTTTCATTCATCTCATATGAGCCGAGCTAGGAAGATCAGATGTATATTTTTCTGTCCGTTGGAAGAGGTATATTTCCACTTTGAAATCAGATCGAGAATCTTGGTAAGTATAGGATTTTAGGACCTTTTTTGATGATCTGTTCTGGTGTGGTAAATGTGTGATCGAGATCGAGAGACGAGAGAACATGCACGAAGAGAGAAGGAAGGGGCCGTTGGTGACGATATACGATCACGATGGTTCGACGTCGGGAATTTGCATATGGCAGACCATTAATTGGATGTGAAAATCATCAGATTAGGTGTATGCGAAGGACAATATTCTAGGATTTTAACTTCCTCGTCATTTTTCGATTATTATCCTTCTAAATGTTCCACGAACATCCAGCACCACTTCCCACCACAGGCCGTAATCAGTACGACAGCTTGGGAGAATTCGAGAACCACTACCCTAAATTTATGCAGGGCCGAGGGTGCAGCACCTGTACAGTGCTCTGCGCATGCAGGATGAGGTTTTTTTTAGCAGACGACATGTGCATGGTGTTCTGCACTGCACCGCAGACATGCAGGCCACACATGGCCCTGCGGTTAGCAACCAGCTTATTCCGCCTCCAGTTTTAATATGTATGATATCGCGCGATTTCTTTCCCCATTTCATCAAATAGTTTGTTCTAAAATTGGACACACAATCAGTTATGGGATTTGAACTGTGATGACTGAAATTAATATAATTATGATTGCCTTTCTAATTATGTGAAATGTTCTTTTTTTAATTTATTACATTTATTTCGATTTTCATAATGAAAATACTTCTAATGTTTCATGCTTGCCCTGAATCTTCTCATACTCATTAATTTATACATGTATATATATTTATATGAATACTTTTTTTAAACATTATTTTATAATTCAACAATATGATTGAATTGAAGTTTCATGATGAAGATCTGACACACATGTATTATGTCAGGGTCCATGATAAATAGACTTCAACAATTATAAGCTTGAAAACGTATTTGAGTTATATTACTGATACAAGTTATTTAATATACTGGTACCTTTTCTTCATCATGTAATGAGGTAATTCATCATTCATATGAAATGTAACTTTTTATCTCAGTTTAATGATAAACATGTCCAATTCTGTGATGATCAATTTTCAGTCTGAATGATATATTGATCCATTTAATACGTTGAGTAATCATGAGACATGAGCATTTATATATGATTCTGAGTAATGATGCATTCTTTTTAAAACCTTAAAATCTAACTGGCAATAAAATACTTGGGCCAAGTTGGGGCAGATATGAGCATAAATTTCTTTCAATAAATAGATTTGCATTATTTTGTTCCAACATCGACACATAAATGTGTGCAATGCATGATGAAACATGTAGTTATGCTGCAAATAATGTCTGCATTATTTCCTTGACATTTATCATGTCGATTGCCTACTGTTATTTAGTTATGTCACTTTAATTGACCCTTCTGGTTTATCTAAAAGAGAAACTAAGAAAGAGATGATAAATTTATTTGGAAGAAGGCTTAGGCTGCGTTCATGCTTAAATTTTGAAGGCAGAATGAGCGATCTGAAACGCTCATCGTAAACGCTCATCGTGATCGCAGTTCCACGATGTAGTGTTCATGCTTACTTCTCTGGCTCCCCCAGGCAATTCTCAGTGTGTGGCCTTAATTGGTCTTCCAGCTGGATTCGCAAACCTTCACTGTGCATGCTACGTAGACCCACTAGAGGTCAGTGCGTTGACCCCATTTAAACGCGTTTACAAATTGTAAACGCATCTTTTTGTGAGTTTACGATCGGCGATCGTGATCGCCGTTTTTCGGTGATTCTACAAAAGTGAGCTAAGACGCAACCGTGTTTTAAACTAAACGCGTAACAGATGCCTGATTCTGGCCGTCAAAATCAAGCATGAACGCGCCCTTAGTCAGTTTCGTTTCTTGTAGAGACAAGCTTCTGTCGTTGCCCATTGTTCTGTATTGTGTACTGAACTTGTTTGTCAATTGCATGAGCGCACATTGCATCACCAGTGAGAAATGCTCACACCCACCACCCAAAACGGCATTCCTGTTGTTATACCGTTTTATTGGCTTGTTCTGACTTAATCTGAAGTATTTCAATTAGGACAGAAATATTTCCCACATTTGCAGTAAAATATGAAAATAAGCACTCGTAGAGAGAGAGAGAGCGAGGAAGACTGAACGTAAATTGTTTGATTTTTGGGGGTATTTTTTTTGTAATTTATTTTTCGTAGAAGTGTTTTCTTGTTCATTTCATGCTTGTGTCAATAATTTAAAGGGCAGATTATATTTATGAGGAATAGTATATATATCCTGAACGTGCCAACTCATAGTTAATGAATTGTGAGGATTTGGAACCTGACAATAGCAATACTTATAGATGTATAAAGGAGCTGTATTTTTCACAGTGTTTATAGTGTGGTGTCGATGAAATTCCTTGATTTCATGCAATGTATGAACCGTACTTCCATTGTAATACTATACTATGTAGGCTAACTTACATAATTTTTAACGATGCCTTTTTTTATTTTAATCTTCAGATTGGAGCTTTGGATTGTCAGAGGTAGCCTGAACAGCGACCAATCCAGCCACACACTTTTTCCCTGTCGCAGAAAATCACAAAAAAACTCAAGATGTTTTTCAAGAAGCCCACGTTAGAGACGGCCAACAACCGCCGATACTGGTTAGTTGGAACTATGATCTTCGAGAACTTGTTTTTCTCAGCCGTTCTCCTTGGATGGAGCTCGCTCCTTCCGGTCTTACTGACTGAAGGATTCTACAGCACCAGATGCACTGAAGGTAAGTCAAAATTTTAACTTTTAGGAGGGGCCAATTTAATTTCTAAATTTTTTATTGCACCTTGCGACAATTCTCAATATAGTTGCCGAATCAACAAACCCTTTGCTCTTTTATGTAGCCATTGCTCTATTATAATTGACCATTTCATTGGGAGTTCCGTAGCCAGTTGTTTTTTTATTCAGGGAGCTGTTTTGAGTTGATTGAGCCGATCTGTATTTATTTTGGACATTCAAGATATTGTTTGAGAATTGCCTTTTTTCAAGGGGTAATGATTATAAGAGCTTGAGAGGTAGCCCTCTGTAAAAATAAAAGTGTAATTGCTTGGAATTTTGAAGCGATTAAGAGAGAAATGGATCAATGAACGTATAAGAAATTCTTCACGTCAATGCATGTAGAAGTAAAAGTTTTGGCAGAGTTTCAAGACTATATTCTGTATCTTGGATCTTCTCTGTACTACATTGGTGTCCTCTTGTCCTCTGTGATGAAAAGATAGGTTTTCCTATATTCCACCTTGGAGGATATCATAAAACCATGGAGCTATAATTCGTCTTTAGCCAGTAAATACCCCTTTTCAACTGCATAATTCTTTTCAGTGTACATACAAATCCAAATTTCCTTGTGTCTTTCAACTTCAAATTTCCCCAAACCAAACTGCCACCCCACCCCACCCCAAACATTGCAGAATGTAATGTGAGAGAAATAGGGTACCACCGGTGTGTTTAGGGATCAGTGACCTCTCCCAAAGCACTACATGTATTATGATTGTGCCAGATTCAAACGTAACCCTGGTGAGGTGTTGGATTTCAGGAGCTTTACATCCCTTCTCTCATCACAAGCTCAGCTAGTTCTTGTGATTTATATCTCCTGGGTCCCTGGTTCCAGTATGGTTCCAGGGGTCTGTTTACTAATTCCTTGAGTTGTTGAGTATGCCTCAGGAGGCTTTGCAAAATGGATATTTGCTATATACTGTACAGTGAGCTAATATTATGTACACCTCACAGGCCTATTTATCTCAATAACACTATTCTTGAACATGATTGCAATGGTTTGCTCAGCATTACAAAGAGACTGTATTACACTTTATAGGTCCATGGATTATAGATTGAAAGTTGGTCAAAGAAAATGAAAGATGGAGCCTTTTTCTGAGGAGTTTACTTTCCAAATCATATGGCGACTTTGGTTAATTTTGATTTTAATCGGGGATAGTGTTTCTGGTTATATCATTTTGTAAGCTTTGTTCATACAGTAGTCTTGATATACACATTGGGCTGGCTGTTCAGGAAAGGTGCTTATCTGACATGGTTTATATTCACAACATTCAGGCCTGGGCTTGGCGCATTCTGTTTTTATCCATTCACTGAAAAGAATGGAAAAGGAAAAAAAACAAATTGGCAGGGGCAATGGCCTAAATCGGAAGTACAAATTATTCTAGGACAAATCATTCATTCATAGAAAAGAAAGTGAGAAAACCCCTGTAAACATTCATGTTAAACAGATCGTTCACCTCGATCTACTTCTTACCATCTCAAGAATGATTCATTCATGCCTAATCTGTATGCGCATACTGATGTGTCCTTCAACATCAGGGGTGATAGTGAGCACTAAAAAAAAAATAGGTTTTTTGTTTTCCCCTCAACCGCGCCCTCCTTGAGTAAAAAAAAAGAAGAGGATTCGCGGGGAAAAATTGGCATCTAACAACATTCCCACCTTTCGAGTAAGAAAATTGGGGCAAAATAGGGAAGAATAGAGAAAATAAGAGGGAAATTGGGAAAATCATGGTAAAATAGGGAAGAAGAAAAAAAATTGGTAAAAAAAAAAAAAAAAAAAAAAAAAAAAGTTTTTTTTTTTTTTTTTTTTTTTTTTTTTTTTTTTTAAATCGGGAAGAAAAAAAAATCGGGAAAAAATCGGGAAAAATCAAAAAAATCGGGAAACCGATTTAAATCGGGTTTTTATCAGGCCTGCAACATAAGCACCAGTCAAGGAACCCTGTTAGATTCTCCACCTGCAAGTATTATCCTGGTATCTGCAACATTATCCTGGTAAACATGTCCACTTGAGAAAAAGGCTGAATATTTGTCTTGTACTGTGGTCCACCTGCAACTCTTGCAATGTTTGTAAACAAGGCCATTTTATGAGGCCTTGGCAAAGAAGAAAATTAAAACGAAATTGGTCATTAATATACTGTCATTAAATGGTCAACAGAGAGAAGAGAAGGGAACAATGGCTTTGGGCAATACCAGGCCAGAAAAGCAGAATTACTTGCATCAAAGACATCTACAGTTATTCAGGGCTCTTGAATAGATGATGAATAGGGTTCCAGGTTTTCTTGTGCCTAATATATGGAAGAGTAGATGTATTTTCTCTTGTGTACATGTACTCCTGATTCAAACTGCAGGGCAACACTCCATCCATTGTCCTTTATTCTTGCTAGGACTTGTCAATATTTTTCCTGAGAACACCCTCTGTCAAAACGAGATGTTGTTGACATCGTTCGGCCTCCCTTTAAACACCCTCATTAGCATACAATCTGCCTCCCATTGGACAAGTCCATTTTGTCAGCAGGGGTGTTGCACCTGGACAAAGGCCCAGTGATGTTTTTATGCCTCCGCCACCGAAGGTGGTGCCGGAGGCATCATGTTTTCGGGTTGTCCGTCCGTACGTCCGTACGTCCGTACGTCCGTCCGTACGTCCGTCCGTCCGTACGTCCGTCCGTCCGTCCCGTTTGACCGTTATCACAATATCTCAAGAACCATTTAAGATTTAAACTTAAGACTGGGGAATAGTATTTATCACCATAGGAAGACGATCTGATTAGATTTTGGAGTACGTAGGTCAAAGGTCACAGGTCACAGAGGTCAACTTATGAAATTCCTTGTATTGAGTTTGTTAGCGCGATATCTCAAGAACCATTTGAGATTTAAACTTAAAAATTAAGGATAGTATGTATCACCATAGGAAGAGGATCTGATTAGATTTTGGAGCACGTATGTCAAAGGTCAAGGGTCACAGAGGTCAACTTATGAAATTCCATACATTGAGATTGTTATCATGATATCTCAAGAACCACTGGAGATTTAAACTTCAAACTTAGTGATAGTGTGTATCACTATAGGAAAACAATCTGATTACATTTTGGAGCACGTAGGTCAAAGGTCAAAGGTCACAGGGCTCATTATGTATGCAAAAACAGCTTGTGATCGCGTTATCTGAACAACCGATTGATGGATTCCTGCCAAACTTTGGTCATGTATGTATCTTGCAGAGCTGATGAACTGATTAGATTTTGGGGTCACGAGGTCAAAGGTCAAAGGTCACAGGGCTCATTATGTATGCAAAAACAGCTTGTGATCGCGTTATCTGAAGAACCGATTGATGGATTCCTGCCAAACTTTGGTCATGTATGTATCTTGCAAAGCCAATGAACTGATTAGATTTTGGGGTCACGAGGTCAAAGGTCACAGCGCACATTATGTATGCAAAAACAGCTCGTGATCGCGTTATCTGAACAACCGATTGATGGATTCCTGCCAAACTTTGGTCATGTATGTTACTTGCAGAGCTGATGAACTGATTAGATTTTGGGGTCATGAGGTAAAGGTCAAGGTCATGCGGCTCATTATGTATGCAAAAATAGCTTGTGATCGTATTATCATTAGAACAGATTGATGGATTTCGCCAAACTTAGATCATTTATGTATCTTGCAGAGCCAATGAATGGTTCATAAGATCAAAGGTCATGGGCTCATTATGTATGCAAAAATAGCTTGTGGACGCATTCTCATTAGAACTGACAGATGGATTACTATTTAACTCAGGAAATCTTGCAGAGCCAATGAACTGAGTAGATTTTAGGGTCATGAGGTCAAAGATCAAAGGGTCATATATGTTTATGAGAAATTGCTTGTAATCACGATATTCTGAGAACATGTTAATGGATTACAATTGAACTTGAATTTGAAAAATTTCTTCCGTTTCGGTTTGTAAAATTGCTCTATGACGGAGGCATCATTTTCGACTGCGCGCAGTTGAATTCCATCTAGTTTAATTCTCAGCTGACTGTACGTGTCCACATCTCAGATTGAAGATCAACAATTGAATCAGGTTTATTTACTAATTACTATCTAATGGCCTTGATGTTATGGAACTGCCTGTATCATCAGCTCTGTTCAATTGTTTAGCTTGAGCTCATTTGCAGGAAATTTTGTTTCTCAAATTGTTAGCTAATATTTTCAATTAACAGCTGGGAAGCAAGTAATGTTGTTGTCAAATCGTTAACAATCTTTCTTGGAGATCACTAGTGGCTGTGTTATGCCATTGTATTGATGATGCCTCTGCTCATGCTATTGGTCGATCAGAGCACTGGAGTGATCATTGTTTGGGGGAGGGGGATAGGAAAGGGGTGGAGCTTTGGATATATCCAGGGCCCAGGGCATGGGTCTTGTGTTTACCATCAATCTAGGCAAGCCAGTGAAAGTTGACCTCTAGCTTTGCATCTGGTCAGAGAAACCCCGAACAACAAACCCTCCTGTTCCAGGAAGTGATAATAACAATTTGGAAATTATAATAAATTTGGAAACAAATTTCTTCCAGTACACTTTGTTATGAAAGACTATAATTGCATGAGTGAAACTCCTGAATAACAAGTGATTGATCTTTCAGGTCAATTTTGTTGAACTCTCCCCATCAATATCGTGCTCTCTGTTGTTCTCAAATGTAAAACATTGAGGCATGCAGCCTTATTTATTCTGAACCCTTTCTGCAGATTGTTTTGAAACCCATCTTGTTATCAAGGGAATGAGGGGTACCCAAAATAGACCTCGTATCTCTGGTCAAGAGTATAAAGATGTATGTTTGCAGATACAGATTTGATAGGACATATACATAAAATGCAGTATGTCTTCTGCTTATAATTTTCGTTCTCCTTGTATAGGCCCCACATCTCTATACAATGGGTGATGGCACCCTTGAAAAGGTTATGAGATCCTCAAAAAAACTAGAGGTTACCCAAGATAACTGCACACAGAAAAGAGCCAGAATTTTCTCATGGGTTTGTTTTGCACACATGATGTCACAGAGCTCCTGGAAAGAATACACATCCCAGAATAGTACACTGTATCCTATCTGCTGATGCTCAGGCAGTGGCATGATCTTAGATAATTATCATAATGCATTTAAAGCATTAGCATACAAGGCAGTATGCTAAACCTGATAATTATGGCAAAGGGGTTGTGCTAATAGCATTATGAATATGATTTGAATACAGAGGGTTGCTCTTTGTGAAAATGGAAACCAGATGCTTGGGTAATCCTCATGGCAACATGTTAGAAGGAGGCGTGCTCTCTCGGATGTTGTTATTTCAATCTTGTGTAGGTAGGGCGGGACCTACTCTCCCTAGCCAATGACTTTCTCAGAAGACCTCCAGCTGTTTTGATTATGTAAATAAGATTATAATGAGGGTATTTGTGGCCAGCCATACAGAGAGCTCGAAAAGGGGGGATGTGTGTGTTGTTCATCGCAGGGGTGTATGGACAAGTCCATTGGGGAAGCGTGTGTGCATGCGTGCGTGCACCAACACACAACCTTGCCAGGGATGAAGGTGATTTACAAGGGGTCAAAACCCTGGATGGGGGAGCACTTTGTTGTTAGAAAAGGAGAGATGAAAAGAAAAAGCAGAGAGAGAAGGAGAGAGGGGTGGCTGTCCCTGGGTGTTTGTTTACATTTTCAAGGAGGTTTACTGCCTTGTTGTGGGGATAGAGGGAAAGTGAGTTGGTTTGAAGAGAGAGAGAGAGAGAGAGAGAGAGAGGGGGGGGGGGGGGGGGGGGGTACTGATCTTGGTGTTTGGATAGGAAGCAACTGACCTGCCCTACTTCATCCCATAACAACAAGCTTGCCAGTAGGCTAAAAATATAAGACGGAATGGAGCATATCATGATAGAGCGGTGCTCTCTATTGAGAGTAAATGATTATGCCCGTCTTTTCAATGCTATATTTAACTGGATGCATTTTTACTGAACAAAGATCCATTATTATTTTATGTAAGTTACCGGTTCCATTTTTATGAAATCACCAACTATTTTCTTTAGTTGACCCACATTCATAGAGGTAAACGCAGCTTTTGGTGACCATAGGCCTACTCATGTTAAATAAGAGGGGCCCCCATAACTAATACCCAGTGGTTAGTTTGAAATTGATATCCTTTCTTTGCCTAACCACATCAGCTTGCAAACTGATATGTTTTTATAGCTGTTGCTCTATAATTTGATATCTGATGAAGATTTGCTAACAATTAGTGCCATTATAGCCCCTCTTTCGACAAAAACAACTGTATCACATGACCTGCGTAGATCATGGTGTCTTACAAAATGATTATTTCTTCTCATACCAAACAGAGGACATGGGTAATTCAACCAATGGTAATGACACTGATGTGCAATATGACGATGAAGAGGCTACCACGCTATTTTACGACACCACCGGCTCGTTGACGCCCAGTCCCGAGAATTACGGCCGACCCGTCTACCCACGATGCTCTGCTCAGGACGAAGCGTTGAATTTGGCATTCACGATAGGCTCTTTCTTGCTGAGTGGTCTCACATTCCCAATTGGAATGGCAATGGACAAGTTCGGAAGCAGAATACTGAGGATGCTGGGAGCGTAAGTACCACTTAATCTTAAAAGTCATCATCTTAGAAGCATTTTTTATATTTAATTTTTAAGCTGAGCTCTGAATGAGAGGATACTTTTGATACCAGGGTTTTAAAGCTTTCTTTTTTGGGGTAGTGAAAAATTGAATCTAGTGATCCTCCCGAATTCTCTAAAAAACACTTGTATTCCATTCATATAAATTCAGAGATACATTAATAATTTTCTTCATATTGCTTTCATTCTCTCTCAAAAGAATACATTTATGTAGAAAATATTAATGCAGAAAATATTGATGTATCTATTGAAAGGGAATATAAGGCAAAATGCTATTAGCTGTGTACTCTCTTAACAAAAAGAGTGCATTTTCACCATTTGCATCAATGTATCATAATCAAATATGTATAAAGCGAAAACTACTATTTTATTCGCTGAATGTAGAGGGCTAATCCACGATGTATTTATGAATTGCTTCCACAGTGTCATGTTCATAGCATCATGTCTTATCTTTGGGTGGACGCCTATCGAACTCTCCGAGATGATCATCCCTGCCGTATCGCTCAATGGTGTCGGAGGCATCATGGTCACATTCACGTCTTTCCAGGTATGTAATTGTTTGAAAAAATATCCTACAATTCTGAAATTAAATGATCAGGTGCTGTCCATGAACAATCTTAATGTTCACTCATGAAGAAATGTGATGAAATAATGTTATTCATGTGCGATTCAGTTATGTGGCAGATTATTTTGGGCTTGAACAAAAAACCCAGATACTCTTGTCTTCTGTTTGTAGTCCGGAGTCCCATGCTTAAATTCCCGCCTGCATTTTTAAAGCAATGTGGGTTCTGTTGAAGACTTTAAAAGCATAAAAAAACGCTAATGAATAATATAAGGATAGTGCCTTCTTTCTCATTGAAGGAGCATTATAGTGACTATTAAAAATTAATACTTATTATCATTTTCTGTTTTTGCAGGTTGCCAACTTGTTTGGAACAAAGAGATCTACAGTGATCAGTCTCAACATTGGTTCCTATGCATCGGCGGCCATCTTGTTTCTCATCCTGAAGGTGAATATATTCCCTTTATATCTTTTTAACTAATACTCCACCTCCTTATCATATTCTGCCAAGCTGCTTTTTCCCCGAACATGTCATGATATAGATAATAGGATGACACAGTTTCCATATCCAAAGAAAGTCATTGCATGCTGCCCTTCCCTATTACATAATCACTGAAGGCCCAAATCAGCTGATCAGGAAGTTGTTGTAATGCAATTAATCTGGGCGTTTGATTTACCTGAATTAAATCAGACTTTGCCCTTTCATTGCCTTGTGGCCACAGCTGATCGGTGAGAATGCTCAATGACTTTATCAGGAATCGAAAGAAGGAAAAAGTACAATGCGTAGAGATGAAATGTTGGGAAGTGCACAGCGTCTGCACTATTTGCAGTTCACTGGCTGGTTACTGGTTGAAGGTTAACCATCCAATTAGATTTGACGTTGGTCCGGACTTGAGCAATTAGAACGGCGATACAGGAAAGCGCATTGTGTTCATGTATTGTTACTGGGAACTTACCTCATTACACTATAGGTAAACCACTTTGGGGGTACTGGTATGCACTTTTTTAGAGCATGTACCTCAGAAATACAAGTGTTCTGTTCCATATTAATTATAATAAAGTGTATTTATAAAAGGCTAACTCCACTCAAAAATTTGTTCAAGGCACAAGATGAAAATAACATAAAAAATACACAAAGATGAGACAACTTAGAAAACAAAACTTTGGAAAGTGGAGAAAATCGCTGAAAACATGTGGCAGATCAGTGCAGACAGAAGAAGGAAGTAAATTTGTTTTCTAAGAGAAGTGCACTCACAGTTCAGTTTTGTCTATTGTTTTGGGGGAAATTTAAATCAATCCTCAAATCTGTTGCACTTGTGAGGCTTTGCCAACCTTTTTCTGAGACGAAACAGGAAAGCAGCGGCACGTTTCAACTTTCATTCATGGGGTCACAATTGACAGGTTGACAGTGCATGTGCCAACTTCAGTGACTTAATGTCATGTCTTTCTCCCATATCTGGGCATGCTCCAGGGAAGTCAATAATGATAGAGATTTAGTCTGGCTAAAGAGGGGGTTTTTCAAAGAAAATATAGGTCACCCAAGAAGATAAGATTGAGAGACAGATGTGCTATAACAAAATAGTCTGTTGGAGTTATTGTGATTCTATTTATAGTAACTATGTAAACATGTCGCCAAGCAGTCTCCTGAAGTTCACCTTTTAAGATGATCAAGGCTTCCAAGTGGATAAAATGATCATTTTCTATACTCTTATAGAAATCAAGTAAATTCTTGTTTCATATTTGAATATGAATAGTAGAACGAGTATAAAATAATTACGCTATTTTTCTCTTTTCGTTTTGTTACAAGGGTCTCTATGATGCGGGTATCAGCAGACAAGTAATGTTCACCGGACTGGCGATAGCCACTTTATTTGTCATCATAAACGCCTACATCAACATCCCCAAAGAACCCATCCCAGATCCTGAAGGAGCAGCCTTTGGGTAAGACCTCAACTTTCTTTCACTGTCTGGCTTTTTATTTGCCTTTCTGACCTTTGTGGTGCAGGATATTCCATTTAATCTGTAGTTCTTAGACTTCTTAGTGGTGCATGGCTCCATTTGAAACATTGTTTTAGATTTGTGAAATCACCCTCACACTTTAAAACCACCCTCAAACTTGTAGAGCTCGCTCTGTTGACTATTAAATATCCATTTGTTGTTGTGATACGGTGATACAGCAATACATTGCATGAACTTGAGTTTTCTGATGTATGACACTTGAATAACTGATAAATAAGCAACCATAGTAATATTTTCTTCTGGCTAAAGATGATTTTATTTAATAAATTTTCCAATTTCATATTTTTCTTTTCCAGAATGCACTGGCAGATTTTGAAGGTCAACCACAAAGTAACTGGCAAGCAGTTCTATTCCATGGTCACCAACGTTGGACGCAAGCTGAGCGTAACGGATGAAGCCGCAGAGGAAGCCAAACAGACCATGATCCGCAAGGGAAGCAAGATCTACTCCTCACAGTAAGTCTCATATCTCTTCATAGTTAAGTACTTGACTCCAGTAAGCTTAATGCGGTATTTTACCGAGAATTATTTTATGTGCCACTTCTCATCTTCCTTTCATTCCAAACTGAGAAACTGATACCAAAAAATATTGACCAAGGAAGAAGATTTTGACTGATCTGAAGCAGAAACTTCCATGCATGAAGCTTGACCATGATCAAGATTCACTTAAAGCCCCACTGCACTACTTATAGCTACTTGCGCCCTCTATACAGCAAACATTGCCTAATTGGTGCCTGTTGGTCCCCCATGATCCCCTTTTTCTTATGTTAATTGAGAGCTGATTTGATGAGATAACCACCTGTCAGTGACCTTGCAGGGAGGTCTAATCCCCCCTGGCCAAACTAGTGCAGACAGGCTTTAAGTCCCATGTTGTTGAAGGATTAGATGATATTTAGAAAAAATTTTTTTTTTGCAACAAAAATGGCCATTATTAAGAGTTTGAGAACATTTCTGGTTAAAAAATGTACTGGTGGCAGTGGTGGGATATCCTATGCATTTCTCTGTGAAGAGCCAGGGTTTCAATATCTGTAATGTCTCTTCTTTCTTTCCATAGGTTGAACCTTGCCATTGAGCTGAAAGAGCGCAAGAAGAAGAAGAAGGAGAACACCCTCATGTACTCGGTCTGCAGTCCCATCTATATCCTTTCTATCATCGTCATGTGCGTCACCCAACTTCGTCTTCTCTTCTTCATCGGTTCCCTGACTCAGATGCTTCAGCTCGTCACTGGCAATGTCACAGAAACAAGTAAGTTTTTGTCCTTTCTTAACCAGTTGAATACCAATGGGTTAATTTTTATGCAGAGTCTACTCATTTCTCCCACCTTTTTTAATCAGTCATAATCTTTTTGGTTGAGATTGAAATTGAATTGAACAGTTTGAACAAGACTGTTAGTTGCATTGATTAGATATTGGGAAAATCTTTCCTCACAAATGAAGTTGATATGAAAGTACTGAATTGGCATTTTTGATGATTCTTTAACTGACAGTTCCACACACTCCTTTTCTTTTTCTCAACAGTGGATCAGTATATCTACATCTTCGGTATGATGCAGTTGATGTGCCTCGTCACCAGCCCTCTGATTGGTCTAGTCATGGACTTCAGGATCAAGGAGGTTCTCCAGGCAGCTAAGGACAGGGAACGCCGTCCAAGCCGTCGCGAGAGCACCTCCAGGAGACCCGGCTCCGTCAGCGGCGACTCCAAGCGCCCTAGCATCATTAGTCTTACATTCTTCAACGGAGGAGATGCACGCAAACAGAGCAATGGATCGATCACAAACGGACACGCCAAGCGACTAGACAGTAATGGAGACATTGAACAGGGACTGACGGGGATGAACGGAAACGGAGGCGTCTCCACGAAGCAGAGGCATCCAAGCACATCCAGTACGGCTAGCAATGACAGCATGAACCCCAAGCCACCGATGAGTCTAAAGATCAGGAAACTCTACAATTCAAGTTATGCCTTCTTCATCACAAGCGTTCTCATCATGTTCTTCGGTGTTACTGTCTTAATACCAAACCTTCAAATTCAAGTGAGTATTACGTCCATGTCTTCGCTTCCCTTCTCTCATCCTCCTCACTACATATTGTCTCGCATCCTCTTTACTTTAACCTATCTTGTGATTGACCAAATGTAGTTCTGAATTCAGCCACTTGTGTAATGAAAGATATTAATGCAAGCTTTATCTTCCAATTGTTTATATGAATATGTGAATATTTCAAGTTCTTGCAAAATTAATTTATTATTATGGTTTCAAGCTAGAGCAGTTTATTTTCAACACTCAAGGATTACATTTGCGTATACCTTTTCGCTTAAATCAGTTCCATCTTTCAACATGTCTTTATACGCCACCTTGCTAGCACACATACCCAAAACTTTTCCAACAGCCAAAGTTACCCTTTCTTGCATGTTCTAACATTTTCTTCTTGCGTTTCTTCTCTTGCAGATTCTAAGTTTCATCCTGCATACAATTATCCGAGGGTTTATTCATTCAGCGGTTTGTGGGCTCTATGCAATCACCTACCCCGCATCTCAGGTCGGAAGTCTCATTGGTCTTCAGTCCCTCATCTCGGCTTGTGCAACTCTTCTTCAGTACCCCATCTTCATTACTATTGAGGGCCCTCTCAATGGCGATCCATTCTATGTAAGTACTACCCAAGGGGATCATTTTTTCACACCACAGGTTTATATTTTCAGTTGGTATTTTGGTTATGTGACACATGCTTTGGCGGCAATCGCTCCATGGTCGGTATTTCAGAAATCTTAAGTCCTATACTAAACAAATTCCTAACTTGCAAACCTGGTTGAAAACTAACCCTAAACCTAACCCCAAACCCATATTACCGATGAAAGCACAGAGCAATTGTTGCTGGAGCAGGTGCTAGATAACTTGTATTTCATAGGGAGGCTAAGGTTTGAGGGTCATCCAACACTTTTTGCAGTAATGACCCACTTTAAAGACCATACTGATAACCAGATCACTTTGACTTTTCACACATGTCATTGTGAACCATATTTTGGTAATGAGGAAAATCACTTATTCTGTGTGAATATTCTGCTTGAAGTTCATGGTGAACAGCTGGGTGTGGCCATTCATATGTTTGTAATATCGATACTTTAAACAATCAAAGGTCCTGTCAGAATAACATCCCCACAAACAAGGTTTTAGTTTGCGATGAAAGCCTGAACACGGGGAAAACGATGAAAAGGAAGCCCGATGTTATGGAAAGGGTCCATGAGACAGTGGGAACCAACTTTTGGAAGATAAACAGTGACCTCAGTAATGCATGCAGGGTTCGGAGTAGCAAGAACACCAATGGTGGAAACTGCACCATTTGGGAAAACAGTTTAGAGCCGGCTTTCTTTTCCTGTTAAAGGACAATATTGCCTTTGATCCCAGAATGCCGGGTAATTGTACTATTCAACCAGCTGGTAATCGGCACCAACTTGAATGTGGCTTCCTCCGTTTGAGGTCACCGTGGCAGTTATGACTTCACAATGCATGATGTCGACACTATTTAGGAATAGGAATATCTTGAATTTAGATAAGAGAAAGAAAGCCTTCAGACTTGATAAACCGGTAGATTTGAGAGACAGACTTCTTCTGTAAGAAATGCAAAAGGGAATATCTTATCATTTTGTGGTTAAAGGGTGTTTGTTTTTCCTGGATCACGTTCTTAGATTTCCTGAGTTTATCAAGTTGCTGTGGGCGGCAATAATAGCATAACATTGCAGGGTCACATGTACTAGTTGAAAAATCGGTAGCTTGACTTCAGTGATGATACAGTACTTTTTTCTGTCATGACAGTATCTCTGACCTTTTTTGTCAACCCCTGATTATTGTTGGCGTTGTCTGGGTTCCTTCAAACTAAACAATGTGAAGTACATGTAACTTCCAGCTGGACTGACACAAAGGCTATCACCTTCTCACTTCACAATGACAGAGTTTTATCATTTGGTTCACAAATCTCTGCTGTAGGGATAAAAGGATCTCTACAAAAGTATGGATATGTGTCGGTTAAGAAAGAAATAAGGAATTTATTGCAGCTTATTTAAAATTATTTCTTTTAACAATTCTGCCTTTAATATGATTGTTAAGTTAACTGAATTGCCATACTCGTAGGTGAACTACCAATGAGACGGTCAGAAAATTAAACAATGTCTTCTCTTTTCTCTTTGTGTCTTTGTGCAGGTAAACGTCATCATGTTCGCATTGTCCATTCTCAACTTTGGTCTTCCAGCCTACATGTTCTACCTCGCCAAGAAACTTCGAAGGGAGCAGAAAACTGAGCAGGAACCCGATGAGCAGAAACTCATCAGGTCCCCTACCAGCAAGAGTGCCCTGGAAACCGTCCCCGAACAGGTCTGAAAGAACAGGGAAACTGGTCTTTAGCTAAAGACTGTACGAACGACTACAGGAGATGCAATTCTGGATTTTCAACTGGCTATATAACGACACTTCATTGACTGAAATGAATCCTTAGCAGAAGAATAAAAGCCAGGAATCGGTAGACTTGCTGGACTAAATAAAAAGAGTCTGAAAGTATCTGGAGATCCAGTGGCTGTCACTAGTGTCTACAACGGTTGTGTTCAGAAGTGACGAACAAAGCTCAAAGACATATTCCAGGATCGGCAAAGGTTTCAAGGATCTTCTTGTCAGAGCCCGACTATTCTGGAAAAGATGCGAAACTAACTTGCAAGTGACACGTGAAATGTGGCATGCATTGTCGCAAATTCATGAGGGGTGAACTTTCTGTAAATGGAAGAAATCCTCCATTTATTTATATTAAACAAAATGTTTCTTTATGTTTAAAGAGTTATTTAACTTGCCAATATTTCTACTTATCTAATGGCTTATGGGCCATACCCTTCATTAACGATCTTTAAAAAAGATCGTACTACGATAGATACAAGATACCAGTTTGATATTGACGATATTCAAATTCTATTATCAGAATATATTCACAGAACTTTCATTGTTTCGTTGATTTATTTAAGGTGAAGGGTCACTGTTTCATGATATATTTTGCTTCCTGTTGTGTAACAGTTGACTGCAAGTTTCTAATATACAACTTCTTTGTAACAAATGTTCATTTGTGTGCATAAACATGCGCAATTTACAGTGTGTGATATAAGAAATGTGTTGCTTGTGTAGAAAGCATGTAGATAATGGAGAGATAACGAAGCAGATATGTCTTTTCATCGTTGAAAAAACTGGCATGTCATATTTTCAATATCTCAAATAGCTCAGGTCAAGGTCGTGTTGAAATGTTGGCTCAAAGTTATGTAGGTTCTCCGTTCATGAAATGACGCATGAAGGAGAAGAGCGAATTGTCTGCAGTGCCTTGAAGGCCAAGAGTATATTACCGGCTTAAAGAATAAGTTGCTCCAAGTCATTTAGAGTGTGTGTGAAAACTTAAAAAATATATATGTATTATGACTTGTTCGATGTCGGGATCTAGGAAAAGGCATTCTATGGGACCTGTGGGATAAATACATGCTATGCCAAAAAGTATTGAGAGCAAATTAAAGGCATGCCCAACTATAAACTTTAAGTTGTGTATTGTAATATGCTGCAGGTGTCAGAATAGTGATAATTTCTGTTAAGTATATATTTGTAGTTATATACATGACAGTTTAATTTATGTTGTGGTAATCTGACCAGGAGCTGTAAAAGTTGAGTGTAGATAAATTTGGTATAAACCACGCGTATTTAAAGGTCAATATGTTTTTGTCACCTTTTAACTTATTTCATGATTTTGACCTATCTACAGCTCCAATTTGACATTCATCTCCCTTCTGATTAACAACCATGTAACTTAAATATTGATAATAATTTTGTCTACGAGTATACACATTTAAACCAAATATTTAATGGGAATATAATATTTATGTATAGAAGTGATCTTCTATTCAAGTGTAAGATTTTATGATGTTTGAGAGCTTGAAAATGAAAAAAAAAAAATTGTATTCCTAGTCTTTCTAGCATATTAAGTGTGAATAACTTCTCGTGCATTCCAAACTAGACCCAGAACGTTCAGCCCCATGAACTGAACTTTGTGCACTCCTTTTGAATTCTTGCAATTATTTTTTTCTTCTTCTGGGAACAAGAAATTGGGATGGATATGAGATATGTTTGATGTATCCAGATGTGGGGATCGATTAATTACCGGTACAAGACAGATTAAAGAAACATGACATGCTTTTTTGGGAAATAAGCTCGCATTTTCATGAGGCTGATGAAGAAGAAAAAAAAAGGTGAAAATCAAGTAATGTTGATCAGTTGCAAAAAAAAATCAATATTCCTTTACCAGTAGTAATGTGCATTCGAGATGAATGTTGTTTCCCATCATTTACAGAGAAAGAATTGCTCCCATTTCTCACTTACATGATCAGTTTTACATGGGTTAAACTGAGATTTTGTATTCGTAGCGTTAAGAAACATTGTTTCCTGTGTTATTCAGGGGCAATAATCATGCTTTGGTTTGCATTGTATTTTAGTGGTAGGAAAAAAGTGCAATTTATAGGCTTCTTAGATGTGAGTTGTGTGATCCCAATATGTTCCTTTTTTGGTAGATTTTGACAAAATAATGAAGTTGGTGTGCTGATTAATGTAACGTATGCATCATGTCATAAAAAACTGATTTCAAACATGTCGTGACTTCTTGAATAATGTAAGTATGTTATCTAAGATTATTTTTTATATAAACAGTATTTGAGAAGGGCATTTTATTGTTAAGCTCTTTGTTGAAAGAAGTCATGCTAGATATAACCAAATGAATTTTTGTAACTGTGAGTAATAAGCAGATGCTGGCGTGTGATTTGTTACTCCTCCTAACCCATCTAAGGGTTGGTAAGGAAGACTTTATGTAAGAGAGAAACTAGTAACTATTCAAATGCTCGACCCTTATTTTGACACCTGAAATAGATCGTGAACTTTAAGAGCATTTCTATTTATGACAGCTTTGAATGGTCCAAGCAAAAAGATATTTGTTCTGTGTTGTTGTTGATGCCCAGTTCGGTGTTGATGGCAAGCGTTTCTCTTTCTTTGGGAGTTGTGTCTAAATATTTACATGTATCATACATTTTTTGAAGATGTAATAAAACAAAAAGTAGTTCTATATTGGCAAGGTAAAACAATTTTGATATGTGTCCTACTTGAGCTGTTGGGAGAGTGGATGAATATTGGAATATGATTTGTGTGTTGTTGTGATGATGATGATGAGGATGATGATGACTAATGATGAACATGATAAGATTATGATGATGATGAAGATGATATTGAAGATGATAATGAGGATGAGGGAAATGATAATGGGAATGATGGTGGTAATGATGATGATAAAGATGATGACGATAAAGAAGATGATTATGATGATGGTGATAAAGAAGATGATTATGATGATGGTGATAATGAAGATGATTATGATGATGGTGATAATGATGATGCGGATAATGATATTAATGGTAAATGATGATGATGAAGATGATTATGATGACGAAGATAATGATTTGAGGGAGATTATTGTAAAGGAGTTATCTCTATGCCTCATGACGACCTCGGTGATGCATATACTTAAAAAAGATGGCATTTAGGATGTTCTGATGGTGTTGATTTACGATAAAGGGTGACAAATGAGACAAATTAGGACTAGGGTACATAAGAGAATGTGCTGCGAGGTAATGGGTATTAGAGGGAACAATCATTGTGCAATCGTTGCCTAACTTTGCTCCACTTTTAACTTGGTCTTCTCTGCGCTAGCCAGTTTTTACAATTTTTTCACTGCTCACTCAAGTATAATTTTGTTGAAACTCGGTGTGTAAACTAATTTGAAGTGAAAGTCCACCCTGATATTATGTTGGTTTTAATAGAAGCAGAAACGGGAGATGAACAGGTCAGTGAAAGTGTGAGTTATGAAGTTTTGATCAATTAAACACAAATTTGGAAATTTGTATTGTCCCTCTATAAAAAGTTCAATCATACATGCACCGACATTGCAGCCTAAATAGAATTATTGCAAATATGTTTCTATGCAACCCCTGTATCAGGCGCGGATCCAGGATTTCTTAGGGGAGGGGGCCCAACTTTTTTTTTTTTTTTGCTCCCGAAAATTTGAAAATCGCGCCGGCCGAAAAGTCGCTCAGTGGGGGGGGGGGGGGGGGGGGGGGGGGGGGGGGGGGGGGGGTAGTGAGCACATTTTTTTTTTGATCCTCAATTTTTTTTTTTTTTTTTTTTTTTTTTTTTTTGCTCCCGAAAATTTGAAAAAACGCGCCGGCCAAAAATGCGCTCAGTGGGGGTAGTGAGCGCATTTTTTTTTTTTGATCCTCAAAAAAAATTTCAATTTGCACCCCCCCCCCTTGAGCGCCAGGGGGGGGGGGGGGGCCCAACCCCCCAAAAAGGTAAAAATCACGTGATTTTACATGATTTTTTTCTCAAGGGGGGGGGGGGGGGCCCGGGGGCCCCCCCCCCCCCCCCCCTGGATCCGCCTGCCCTGTATGGATAAGTGAGAAAATAAAAGTTTAGGAATTTTCTGTACAGAGCAAATTGGAGAGGAACTTGTAAGATATGTCAGTGTTCCAAACTTCTGTTTGATTGATGAAAACTTCAGAAATTCATAACTTTCTCATTTTGAATTGGAATTTGCCCAAACTTCCACTAACCCATTCCTCTCATTTTCAGTTACTATCAAAACCAAATAAATATCAGGGCAGACTTCCCCTTTTATAGACAGTAGCCAATAATACAGATCAATTCAAGATATAGTGAAATTTTTATTTTGAAGGATCTTTTTTCTCTGTGTACACATACATTTTTGTTTTTACACACACACACACACACACACCATTTCATTAAAATTCCTTTCTATTGCTACCGTTTGTAGAATTAAATGTAGATGATCGTGTTTGCACCTCTCTACCTTGTATCTCAATGCTACACAACCAACCTGCCTTCAATAACAGGTGAAGAAATAAGGAGTCTAAATATACAATAGAAAGTAATTTATCATACAATAAATTTATTTACAAATTAATATGTAAATTGAAGTGCATTTCACTGGAATATCGTCTAAAATGGAGAAAAAATATTGACAAATATGTCATACAGCTGGAACAGCATAACAAAAGACAGTTTTCAACTCCAGTCAAAGCTTTAATATACTATTTAGAGAATCGTAATCAAGTGTTCCTGATGCACTGAATTGCATTTGGAATGTAAATCAAATGATGGAATGTTCAGGATAAAAATATAACAAAATGATGAACACTACATATATAATGCACTGAGATACATTAGCAGCATGTCATGATAATAAATCTGTTTTTTGATTGAAAATTAATCCCAGTTTATAAAATCTCAAAACTACTACAGTGGAACCTTGTTATATCAAGGTTCTTGGGACAATGGAAATCACCTTGTTATATCAGGAATCTTATTACATCTGGGTAAAAAAAACTACAGAATATAAAGAGCTGGGACCAGCAAAATTACCCTGTTGTAACAGATATCTCCTGAGGTCTTGATAATGATGTTCCACTGTATATGCTTTTGGTTAACAAGTGGACATGGATTAAATATAATGAAGAAGTGTGTGAATGCAGTGTGTAGAGGCCAACCAGAGAATTATCCCAACCACAAATATGATGTTCGACAGTAGATGGCGACCTTTCTTCCTCCCACACTGCGCAAGCCAGCGCATGTGCAGATATGATACTGAGGAAGACGATAAGACAAGCTTTAATCCGATTTCCATAGAGAATGTACAGCAGTGTCAACTAATCCTTATTTTACTAAACTATTGTTCAGGTTTCATGAACTCCTCCAATTTGATGAGATCTATGCAGGCACCACCATCATTTTTTATTTCTAGTTTATTGGTTCCAAAACTATAATTTCTAAAGGACTTTCCAGTTCTCAACCCATTGTATTTGTATGGAAACCGGAAGTGCCATTGTCAATACTGTAGGTGCGGTAGCGAGAATTGCAACCTTACTTTTAAACAAAACCCTGATAAGACCGTAAATTGTAATTTTCGCGGTAACAAAATGTGTATTCCCCCATCAATATCAATGCCCTATCCATTTTTGTATAAATGCCGTAATGTCTTTCTTACAACATCTTGAAGTGATCTGAACATTTACAGCCGGCATACTCTCAAATTCCATGTCTGAATTAAGTTTTGGTGAAGAATACATTAGCAAAGTATAAATAGAACCATCAAATACTTTAGGAAGACTAATTATTAGCAACACAAGACTATTATTTGCTCAAAACTCATTAGTCTCTGAAGTTGCACAATATTTCCCACATTTCCCACAAACAATAATGATTCTTCACAAAACATGTAAAGTATTATCTTTACCCTGTCGTGAATTTGGAACTTACACGTAATCATAAATAAATGTAGAATTTGTCAAAGGGTCAAGGTTTTTGACCCGTCAGTGACCGATCGGAGGCCTTGAAATGATAGGTGAGAAAAATCATAGGAAGCTGCACATATATCTATTGCCAATGAGAGAATAAAAATTTCATTTCTGAATTTTTAGAAATAAATCATGAATATGTGAACGTATATGAAGTACATGTAGTACATTCAGGCATAAAGTAAGGAATCAAATTTGCGAGGGGAACTCAATTCCCTTTCTTCATACTACCTTCAGACATAAAATAAATGAAATATATTTTAGTACGGCATCATATTGCGGGATTGGAATATATAAACTGTTTCATTTTCAAAGCTTGGTAAAAAAAAAAACACCAATCAAACATAAAAATATATCAACTTCTACAACAATAGAAAATAGATCTTGCCATATCATTTTCATTTAGATATTTCACAAGGTAATACACAGATTGAATTAATTTATACAAATGTGAACAAATTTCACAATATCAACATTATGATGAATACACACACACACTCTCGAGCAATTTTCCACAAAGAAAGGCACTTTTGCATTTGATGTATACCTACATACCCACAAAACATATGCACATTATGATGTCACACGTTTTAGTACTATTACTTTTTGGAAGCATCAGGGTAGAATTGACAGGTTCAGCGACACACACTCAGATTACAATAGCTCCCAAGTCAATTTACTACTTTGTAATGTCAACTCGGCTCAACACCTGTATGGGTCAAAGTTGAAATATTGAAATGTGGAAATCTGCATTTTTCAATCATTTAATCATAAAGGTACGACTGTAAAAGAGCTCTTTGTAAAAATGCAACAAAAAATGACGAAAATATGGCAGTGAAATGCTTCGTTTTGTGCTTGATGTAAAACTTGTGAAACCCATTCGTGTTTGTTATATGCCACACAAATAATCATCCTATCTGTGCCACATTTTATTCATCATGGGATAGATACTGTATGCCGTCCCTCGGATAGGACGTTAAATAGAGGCCCCATGTAGAGGAGAGTCCTCACCTTTGCACATTTAGAACCCACTGCACTATATGTATAAGAGTAGGGGGGAAAACCCTGGTGTAGTGGTCCATCTGCACACCCCCAATCAGTTCTTCCGGGCGGAGAGTCCCAAGGATTACGGTGATTCCGTTCGCTTTTCGGCTCCCAGGCTCGGGCGCCGCCAAATACATAATAATAATACCAAAGGCTTCACGATTATTTAACCCATTCCAGTGCAAGATTAATCCATACCATAATTATTTGGGGTATCATGGAGCTGATCAAGAGCAGAAATGGGTAATTTTGCTGAGCCATTGTGTTGCACAAAGCAATCTATCTGTCATTGCATGTGCCATGTGAGGTTACCGAGCGACAGCGCAGAGGGTGATCGAAGAAAGGAACTAAAATGGCAGTGAAATATTCCTGAGGCAATGTTTATCAGACCCTGTTAGTGTCGAGTCCTCTCATTGCATCATATACGCAATGACATTATACCTGGTCCAGATGATTTATATGGCCATTAAAGATTTATTCAGATAACCGGCTTTTAAACTTTTTTGTAACTGAAAGGCAACCACGCGCAACAAAAGCCCGCACTCGGTCACTTTATACGCAGTTTGGGATTTTTTGATGTGTAAGATAGCATTTCCAGGGTTGTGGAAATGCTATCTTACACATCAAAATTAATACAGCACTAATATTACAAATTTCTTATCTATTTTTACTTGTTTTTTAAATGAAAGTGTATCACTGTGATAGAAACGGATATTCTGTGTCGGTTGCATGTTTTGTTTTATCAGAATCATGCAGGAATGAGTACCTATACGCAGACATGGGCACTCTAATCATACTTTAAAATCAATACTTGATCACAGCAATTTGAACAGAATGAATAGTTTCACCCCTGGCACCTGATATATCGATGGACCAAACTGGACGCACCGAGTCAAGGTTTAAACATGGCCGACACACAGACTTTCGCTCAAAAAAACAAACTGTTCCTCAGACATGTGTAGGTGAAGTGGGAGGTAGGATCGTGTACTTCTCTTCTATTAATTCTTCTTCTCTCTCTAGCTTCAACTGTTTTTCTTTCCTCCTTACAAACATCCAGATGTAGATGGGAAGGCTTGCTGTCAGCAGGTTGAATACAATGAAGCAGATATTGAGCTGCAGGAGGAAAGAAAGAAGAGGAAAGAAAAGGAAATTTTAGGAAAAACATTCATTTTAAATGTATAGATTTAGTTATTTCCAATTATCATACCGTATATCAAAAATATCCCACTACCGGTATTTTTAAAGTGGGTGGGTCGGCAGTTTCCATGTGCAGAAGGTAATAATTCGCTGACGCCAGACTTGGTGGAAATATGGTTAATGTGTATACAAGTCTGCACATAGCAAACTCCTAGTCCAATAAACCAATATCCCCTCGTCTCTCTCGAAGGGTCTTCGGGTGATGCAAATGTCAGATAAGGACTTTATCATATGGGGAAAAGACAGAGCATTACATAAAGCTGGCTGGTCATGAGACTGAAGGCTAGTCCCGGTGATTGATAACACCTGTTATTGGGTCAACACCTGAGCGGTGTCAAATTCCCAATTCTTCTCTCATTCATCGATCACTGATTCAATATGTAAGTTGGTACTTACAATGAAAGGGTCACTATTGAGCACGTTTTGAAGGATGCTGAAGATTGGATACTGAAGAAGACCAAAAATACCAGCGAAGGACCCCATCACACCAAAGAGAGTACCAAAATACTCCTGTGGAAACCTGTTGGGAGAAAGAAAAAGACACATCAAGTAACAATAATGATGAAGTCGATGGAAAGTGTGTTGCCTCTTAATACATGTCTAGCTATAGCATCAGAAAACTAAAAAAAGCACATTTTAAACAAACAGCTTCATTCCAGCTGCCTTTTTCCTTTAACAGGCTAGGAATGATACTTGAAGAAAAATACTTTTAACAGATTCAAACAATATTTGTGGCTCCATCCATAATGACCTCATGCTTTTTCTACAGTTAATTTCAAGTGAATACCACAGCTTCATCACAGATGCACCTCCCCCACCCCGAAAGATGAACATCATGGGATGAAACCTAAGTTTCACCCTCTATTTTCAAGATAAGTCCTTGCCTCACTCCCAGGCAGTTTGATCTGGGGGGTGTTTCACAGAGATCCTAAGTCAAACTTAACTCTAAGTTGGACTTAACAAATTATGGAGAGCCATTTGTAGCCTTAAAATAAAATATATTCAAAGCAAAAATTCAAGTAGCTTAGACTTTCATAGTCTTTTCATAAATTCCACATGAAGAACATGAAATCTCCTTGATAATAGAAAATATAAATGACTTGAATCAAAATTCTATGCCTTTTAAAATAACTTTTACAAAATAGTTTCACAAATGCTAACGGCTTTCCATAATTTTTAAATCCAACTTAGGATCTTTGTGACTTGAATCAACATTCTATGCCTTTTAAAATAACTTTTACAAAATACTTTCACAGATGCTAACGGCTTTCCATAATTTTTAAATCCAAACTTAGGATCTTTGTGAAACACCCCCCTGGCATAATACATACATGATTGGAATCACAGCCACAGAGAGACCGTAGAGGAACGACCTGATGACCACTTGGATGATGAAGGTCAGGTACTGCAGCTCCAGCTTTGGGATGACGATACAGACGGAGAAGATGGTGAAGAGGATGGTCGTCAGGGCTAACGGGAAGCAGGTGTCCTTCAGGTCAGAATAGGGACTTCTCTTGTCGACTATTTAAAGAGGAATTGCAAAGAAGATGATATTGATGAATAGAAGCTTAGATAAATACAGTGAAACCTGTATACAGTCAAATCTACTTTAGTGACCACCTGTCTACAAAGACTACCTGTCTACAAGGACCACATTTTCTGTTTCCCTTGAAAAAGTTTTCTCATTGAAACATCTACTAAAGGAACCTGTCTACAAAGAACCCTTTTTGTGTTTCCCTCGGGCGGTCGCTATAGACAGGTTTGACTGTATAAAGACTGCTAAATGGAGACAAGAAAAGTGGTCTTTATATTTAGGTGGTCTTTATTAACAGGCTCCCTTAGTACACGCTTAAATAAGAATCCTTTTCAAGGGAAGAAAAAAATAGTGTTCTTTATAGACAGGTGGTCTTTCTATACAGATGCAGAAGCGGATCTAGAGGGGGGGTTGGGGGGGTTGCAACCCCCCCCAAAAAAAAAAAAATCCGGGGACCATTTTTTTAAATCTTATCTTTTTTTTAAAACTTGTAATTTTATTTTATTCTATTTCTATGTATTTATTTCATTTATTATTATTATTATTATTATTATTATTATTATTATTATTATTATTATTATTATTATTATTATTATTATTATTATTATTATTTATTATTATTATTATTATTATTATTATTATTATTATTTATTATTATTATTATTATTATTATTATTATTATTATTATTATTATATTATTATTATTATTATTATTATTATTATTATTTTATTATTATTATTATTATTATTATTATTTTATTATTATTATTATTATTATTATTATTATTATTATTATTATTATTATTATTATTATTATTATTATTATTATTATTATTATTATTATTATTATTATTATTATATTATTATTATATTATTATTATTATTATTATTATTATTATTATTATTATTATTTATTATTATTATTATTATTATTATTATTATTATTATTATTATTATTATTATTATTATTATTATTATTATTATTATTATTATTATTATTATTATTATTATTATTATTATTATTATTATTATTATTATTATTATTATTATTATTATAAAATTATTATTATTATTATTATTATTATTATTATTATTATTATTATTATTATCATTATTATTATTATTATTATTATTTCTTTTTGGGGGGAGGGGGGGGGGGTTGGGCGAACAAATGTCACAGAGTCCCTTGCCCCCCCCCCCCCATCAGCTTTTTTGAGGACACGGGCCACCGCCGAAGTGACAAGCTAGGCCAGCGTTGCCGATTCTCATCCCCAAAATCCCCACATTAAAAAAAAAAAAAAAATTGGGGGATTGTTGAAGTCTTTGGGGATGAAAAATAAATATTTGGGAATGAAAATAATATTGAGTTTTATGAAAAACGAATTTGGGGATTTTCTGTCAAAATTTGGCAACTTTGGGGATATTTTAAGTGTCGTTTGGGTGGGGATTATGTGAAGATTTAACCTGGCAACGCACGCTGAGCTGGGCTGCTCATTTCCTGGATTACTTGTTCAAGTTGCTCACTTTTTTATCAGTCTGGTCTGAGTGTAGTGACAAGCAATATGGAAGCAAACAGGGCAAAGAAGTTGCGGCAATCCAGTCTCGCATCTTTTTTTACAGCTTTTTATGGTCTCCATTGTGTTAATAGATGCCAGGAAAACATCACTTACGGGGTTCAAATAAACACCCCCCAAAAAAAATCGGCTCGCCGCTTCGCGGCTCGTGGACGATGCTCCGCATTGTCATTATTTTGGTCAACCCCCCCCTTAGCAAAAAGCTAGATCCGCCCCTGAGATGGTTGCTAAAGAAGTTTTGACTGCAGTATGAACATATATTATACATATGCATCAGTGAGAGTGTTAGTAAGAATTATTCAAAAAAGCAATGTTAACATCATAGTTGAGCTGTAGTTGGATCGTATATTCTTTTAAATAATCCTTCATCCTTAAGACTTACGATGCTTGTTGGCGAACCATCCTGTGGTCATCTTATTACGATCAAGGAGAAGTCCTCCAAGAGGAGCCACAACAAACCCACAGAACTGGATCAGGGAGAAGACGTTGGTGTACTTGCTCACTGCAAAACAAAGATAAAAATACAAATGTATAAATTTGTTCATCAATCATTTGATTACACAATTTAAATAAAAGTGCCTGACAAGTCTTTTCTTCAGTGGTTCTCACATTCTCGTTGTGGTGAGAATCCTTTTGTTTCTAATTTTAGAACTAGGAGTCTTGATTTGTACTACACTTGAGAATGAAAAGCACAATTAAATCTGTAAAGACAAAGCCACTGTTTCCAAATAAGAGAGGACACAATAAATATTGCTTGCAGGACAGGTTTCGTCTCAATATGATTTGTCTTCATACCAGCAGGGCCTTCGCTTTATACAAGGGTAGGTATTCGAGGTCCTTCCACTTTCCAACTTTCCATTTTGTTGTACATTATAATGTTAAGACTTGTACATGTCAATTTTGTCAATATGCCTATGTAGCAAACATTTGTATCATTATAGTTTGATGTTGACTTTTGAGTGGGATAAACTGAAACGAATTGAAATGTTTTTTCTGCTTTTTGGAACATCTCATGTCTCATATAGACATGAACTATACAAGGTGATATTAGCCCATATGAGTTAATATTCTACCTAGTCACTCAATGTCATCATTGTTATGAAGTCTACTCAGCTAGGGGCTGAGGATAACAATTGAGAACTTGAGGAGTCGATTTAATGTTCTAAACCAATAGGTGCATCTGACACATGCTCAAGGCCTTATTTTGTTACAGGGTTAGCATTCAGGTTGCAATTGGGCTTAACGTTAGGCTTAGGATAAGGTAAAGTCTTTGGTCCAGAATTGAAGTAAAAAGTTTGGTTTCTGTATTATATTGACTGCAGAACAAATGTCACCAGAGTATGTGTACAATTAATACACTAGCTGTTGACCAATTGTTTTTAATTCTCCTCTGTGAGCCACTGGTTCTAACTCTACATTTAAGGTGATACTGGACAGGACTAATTGGTATACCAACCAGACTTCTGTGGCATCGCAAACATCATAACTGGGTGCAGAGTTGTGGTACTTATAGGATACTGGTTCAATACCCCAGTCACTCACCAACTTGTTCATCGTTGTTACTCAGTCTGTTGAGCCAGGGGTTGAGGGTTCCGATCATGAAGATCAGACGGAGCTGGAGGATGGAGATCCACGCCACCAGGAGCCAGAAGAGAGGCGAGAGGATGCAGGAGCGTATCGTTGGAAAGTACTGCTTTTTACACGCCTCGGCCTCCGCCTGAATCACTCGAGACTTCCTTCTTGTTGATCCTACATTATCAAAACAGGAAGGAATAGAGTACTTTTAAAGCCATTATTAGTAAGGGTTATGTAGGGAATTAGACAGCCTATGGATATTTAACCAATAAAAGTGTCATTAATCACCTATAACGGACTTCACAACTGACAGATTTTAAGCAATGCATCTACTCTTGGAATCATCCCATTAGGAAAATTAATCATCACAAATTCCTCATTTGAGCCATGACTGCAACCTCTTAAAGGAAGTTACTAGTCATTTCCAAGTGGGACATTAGTTTGGCTGTTTGGGAGATTTGTATGAACGTTAAATGGTAAATTGTGAGATTTGTATTTACATTCGGATGTACATGGAATGGTAAATTGCAAATTTTTTGTGTGCATTTGGATGTACAATAAATGGTAAATTGCAAGATTTGTATTACCGGTACATTCAAATGTACATTCTCACAATTTGCCATGTAATGTACATGGCAAATAGTGAGAATGTGAGAATGTACATTGAATGGTTCTTCGACAAAGTGTGTGTTAGCAAACTGTGATGTCAAGCACATGGAAACAAATAAGAATATGTCTTTAATGCTTTCGTTCTTCATTGTTTGGCAACTTTGGCACAAACACAACCATGGTATGGCTTCAATTCAATTACAAATGGGCATCAAGATTCATGATCTAAAGGGCATTGCAGTGATTCAACATAAATAACCATATCTGATTGATACACGTTAAATCCAATTACACCCCCGATTAAAATAAGAAAGTTATGATTTTTTGAAGTTGCGATCAATCAAGCACAAATTGGCAACTCTGTGATGTATCATGTGAGGCTCCCTCCCATTTGCTCCCTCCCATTTGCTCTGTACTAAATAAATTCAGATAATTTTCTATCATACATGCACCTTGAACATAATCATTGCAAATATGTTTCTACTTAACCCCTGTATGAAACAAAATTCTATTCCGTCATCAATAACTGAGAAAATGAAAGTTTATGAAATTTGTGTACAAAACAAATTGGAGGTGACCTCCAATGATATATGCAGAGATGCCAACCTCTTGACACAAAAAAATAGACAGAGTATCCTTAAAAATCAGATTTTCACGAAAACTCGACACTACCTATGGCCGGTTGGCCCCGGGCCAGTAAAATTTCAGAAAAATGTGATACTGGTACGTACGGTCACGTAAAGGGTTTGCTCAATTGGATTTTGCTCAAACTTTCAGTGACGGTTCCTCTCATCATTCTAATGGAAAACAAAACTAGCAGTCATTAAAGACAGCCTAGACAGGTAATCTTGCTATACAGGTAGTCGTTAAAGCAGGTTAAATTGTATGTAATTAAATTTATCTCCATTGAATTTAAAGGCTGTCTGTAATAGTTCAGCCAGAAGGGATTAGATCACCCAGCGAGGTCACTGACAGGTGGCCATCTCATCAACTCAGCTCTCAATTAGCATAAGAAAAAGAGGATCATGGGGACCAACAGGCACCGATTGGGGAGGTTTTCTATATAGAGGGAGCAAGTAGCTACAAGTAGTACAGTGGGGCTTTAAACCCCCTTTAGCATTGAAAAAGATAATTCATGTATGAATCTCCATTCAATAGGATTTAATAGCATACAGAAACTCTCCACCGCCATAAACAGGAAACAATCTATAACACACCGGCAGTAAAGAAAGCTCTTTCAGGAAGCCGTCTATATACCCTTCAAGGATATGACTATTCATCAAAAACTCAATGGTCATCTCTGAAACCATGACAAAACACCCAAGCTGGATGCAGTTTCATGTAATCAATCTACCGATACGTAAAATCTGTATTATTGGGTAGGGCTTGAGTAGGATGCTGGTATCATGTTATCTGCGTTAGATCCTGGCATTTATTGCTCAACAGGAAATCATTCAATTTCCTGGTTTTAATACAGTGAACCAGTCTGAACTTCAAGGAGAAGCGAACGATGCAATAATGGTCAAATATTTCCCCTGATTCCCCTGGTCATCATATAGAAGATTAATTGATGAAATTTAATCCAGAAAAATACAATTAACTACAGTTAAAGCTGCTTTAGTGACTATACATGTATGTATAGCAAGATCACCCGTCTATAATGACTGCTAGTTTTGTTTCTCTATAGAATGCTTAAGCAACCTGTCTATAAAGACCACCTGCCTATATGGACAGCTATTTTTTTTTTGGGGGGGGGGGGGGTAGGTCTCTATTGAGTGGTCTTTATATACAGGTTTCACTGTAACATAATTACAACAATATTTTATTATTGTATGTGTCTGAGTATTATATTATGATATAACATCATTACGTGCTTCCAAAGAGCTTTGGAAATTATTACCATGGCCTTCCACAGAGGGTTTGGAGATTATTATCACAGCTTAAAGGCTGTCTGTACTAGTTTGGTTAGGAGGGATTAGACCACCCAGGGTGGTCACTAACAGGTGGCTATCTCATTAACATAAGAAAGAGAGGATCATGGGGACCAATGGTCACTGATTAGGCATTGTTTTCTATATGGAGGGAGCAAGTACAGTGTGGTTACAAGTAGAACAGTGGGGCTTTAAGTTCTAGCAACTGATATCAGTAAACTGTGCATTTCAAGGAGAAGTCCTACACCTGGGTCTAGTGTGGCAAATATAGATTATTGTCTTTCCAAAAAAATGCATTGGTTAACTCTTTGGTTGCTTTCTTCACCTTTCTAAATGGGCTCATGTTTGCCACACATGCAATTTTGCACACCATAAATAGGCAATAACTAACATGAGGATTGCATTGTACAACACAATGGTTTTGCGAAATTACTAATTTCCAGTCTTGATTAGCTCCATGACAACTCTTTAACAGCAGCATAGATTAATCTTGAAATTGTAAGCTGCTAAATATTCTTAATGCATTCTGTATATCTATCCCACATTACAAAAATGTGGCTCAAGGAGTGTGGCATATAAGGGGTTATTAGGAGGGCCTTGAACCCTGAACCTCACCATCTGCAATTCTGAGACTTATCCACTAGACCACCAGAGCAACCTACCATTGGCTTTAACTCCAGATGACTTTCTTCTATCAGATCTGTTCACAGCAGCCCCCTCTCCATTGAGCTTCCCCTTCTCAGAGGCGGTGCCGTTCCCATTAGTAACTTTCATGTCAAGTTCTTCTTGGGTCATTTCATCCTGCGATAAGAGAAGAAATTATTTTTAAAAAAATACATTGTACATTGTAGATCATTGATCTCCTAATTATTCTTCACAATGAATATCAAACAAAAGCCATTCTGATATAAATAATCTGAGATTGGCTTTGTGATGTCACAATCACTATTTAAGTACTATGGCTTAATAGGTTGGCATGCTAAGGTACAATAAAATGTGAATAATGCATATGTTAACGCAACAAATTTTCATTTTGGACCAATAAATTTGATTTAAATTGAATTGAATTGAATTGAATATGAATGAGTTAAATGCCATTTTACTTAATAGCCAAATTAACTATAGAGTAAAATGTTGCATTTTTCAATGTAATGAGTTGAATTCTCGCTCTAATATCTAAGTCCCAGGTGGTTTTAAAATACCTCTTTTTCCTTGACCTCTCCGCAGCCTCTCTTGACCTGAACGTAGCCGGACGGGAGGGGCCAGGGGATGCGTTTCGCTGGCAACAGGATGAACGTGTTGATGTTGAAGAAGATGGTCGCCCCGGCGAGGATGAAGAAGGCCGTCGACATCGGCAGACCGGCCTCGTAACTCAACTTATAGGACAGAATAGAATAGATATTCAGATGAGTTAGAATTAGTGTCACTTTGAACTGACGTCCTATTATTTATCTTTTGTCCAGAGTGCTCTGAAATACATACGGTATTGTATATCAAATTTTGAGCAGAAAGTGCAAAAATTGCAGGAAAATTGGAGTCCATTTCTGTTGCAGTACATTGTGCCATTCATGAATTAGAGTGACTTAACAGAAAATAATCATTAAAGTCTCTAAATTGGCAACACAGACTGAAATATCTTATCACTACGAATTTGTACACAATCTGATTATTTAGCACACACTACACCTATTTTTAAAACATTGAAAACTCTCAAAGTATTAACTGATATGCACATTTTTCAAACAGCTATTTTATGTATAAATATGTCTCAAACTTACTTCCTAAGTCCTTTCATGATTTTTATATTCATAATGTTAATGTACATTCGTACCCCACGAGGCACTCTATGGATTTTCATTTAACTAACCCTAAAATTGTTTTGGACCCGATGTGTGGAACTCCTTGCTTATAACATTAAAATTATGTACAACACTTGTTTCCTTTAAAGTGAAGATGAAAGAATATTTATTGATAAGGTATGAAAATTAGATTCTGGTCATAATATACTACATGTACTTTGTTTTAATATAAATATTCATTGTTTATTTGTATATAAAAAGGAAATTATTTGATAGATTGAGGAGCTCGCGCAGTGCACTCTTCACTTTGCACAGCACTCACTTCACCCGCTCTTTCTTCCTGTCTCCTCTTCTCCTTTTGTAAGGCCGGTATCATTTCAAGCTCTGCTTACGATATCGGTCTTCTGCATTCTCCCCCTTTTCTTTCTTTTCAAATACGATTAATTGTACTATTGATTATTTATATTTATTTATTTGTGAATTACTACTTGTATTACTTATCATTATATTGCTAAAATGTATTCATTGTTATTTTTGTTATTGTTTATGGAAAATGCAGAAATAAAACTTGAAACTGAAACTGAAACTATTTCCATGTACAAAGTGAAAATTTCTTTTTAAAATTTTGATTCACACTGATTAATCTAATATACATTTTCTTGGTTAAACTACAAAAGAGTGGAAACTACAAATATTTGTTGCCACTGTGAGAAGGAAAAGCTGATTAACTTATTCCATGAGAAAACTTTGAGCTGACATGGCTTAAAATGATCTACATGTACATATAATATGTTGCTTTTACCTATCAATATTTTGACAGTCAATCGAAGCCTCAAGAAAACGATACAAAGAGTCTGTATATTTTGATCTAAAATTGCATTTGCATAGAACTTTAATTATCTCATAACCCCGGTGGGGTCACTCAATGTGACTTCCGGACCACATGACCGTTACCAAAATCGCGGAAAAAGGGGTCAATTTCAAGCAATGTCCGCGGACAAAATATTCCTCGAAATAAAGAAAATAGGGGTGCACATGTGTCCCCGAAATTGATAAATAGGGGTCAAGAAAAGGAAAAAGAGAAAACCGGGAAGGGAAAAGAGAAAACCGGGAAGAAAAATTCTCGGAGCCGAGTCTTGTCCTTGAAATATGGTAAAATAGGGGTAAATTTGCAAAAGTGTCCTTACAATCTTATAAATAGGGGTATTCCAAAGTACGATTTTGTCCTTGTTTTGACGTAAAAAAGGGGGTTAAATTTCACAAAATGTCCTTGAAATTGACCGCAAAAGGGGGTTATATGCATTGGTGGTAACGGTCATACGTGTCACTCTTTGCAGGGGAGTGACCCCACCGGGCTCATAACACCTCTGTAAAAAAAAAATACAAGAGGGGATATCAATACATTTAAGACTCTATCACAAGTTTGAAAGAAGACTTTTGCACCCTACATGTATGATATATGATAATGCCGTTTCAGATCATAGCATTGTGGTGGAAACTACTAGATGACTATACATTTCGGAAAAGGGTCTGAATGCCAGGCCGATAATGAATATAATATCACAAAGGTAAACATTAAAAGTAATCCGCATGATTAAAATGCATTGTTTATTCTAGACTTTGTACTCCAGGACGGAAGTCTGATATTCTAGAAAATAAAAGAGTATTATTGAAACAAAAGAACTCCATTGACATTTGTTGATTGTAAAATGTATCAAATTTATCTTAAAGCATATCATTCGTTACCCTAAAGTCAATATACATGTACGTATGCACATGTTCATTTGTTCTGAATAATGAACCTTTCCAAATCAACAGCGAAATGATATATTTGCTGTTTTGTGCTGAAGCAAACAGGAAATACTGCTTTTTCCTGCACCCAACCCAATCATCCACGGTTACAAACATTTTTTGGGTGTGTTTTTTATTTTTTTGTATTTATAACATAACCTTTCTATTTTCAAATGGAACTACATGTACATGCACAGTTAACAACTAGTTTATTCATACCCTTACCAATTTTGTAATTTTTTGACTATGCGGAAATTGATTTGTCCTGATTTCTGTTTCTTGAAAATGTGACATATCAAAGCTAATACATCTCAATGCATTTAGAAAGGCGCTAATTCAACCAGTCCATCTTTCATTCTTGAGTTACAAAAAACCAAAACATCAAATTTACTAGGGTATGAATACTTGATATCTTATCGTTACACGCAAGTTGTTGAGATTGATACCACTCTCATATCACATGTAGCAATGACCGATTCATTAAAATCACAGCTTTTGGTAAAACAAGGCCCTGAGATAAATTTCTCCTCTTTTCTCCTCTAAAACAGCATCATCCTTTTCTTACCTTTACAATAAGCATAACGACAGCCGAGGAATCAAAGCAGCCACTCATCAGAGTCATCACAGTAGCCTTGTTAGGACCAAACAGATTGGAAACCTGAAGAAGAAAAAAAAGAAAGCCTTTTGTAAATGGTGATGCACATTGCACAGGACTTGTGCCTGCAACTCAGGGGTGATATTGAGAGTTAAAAAAAGAAATTTTTTAGAAATCCGAGGAATACGAGGTGCTGAGCATGTAGGTACTTTCCATTTTTGGAAGAAAAATATATTAAAAAAAGGCCCCCCCCCCCCCAAACAAAAACAAAAAAAATATCAGGAAAACAAAATTGGAAAACCGATTTAAATCAGGAAATTATCAGGCGTGCTGCAACTTTATCATTAGGAGCTTGTAATTGAGAAATAATGGGCACTGGCATAACAACTTGGCTTCAACCCAAGACCTAGTTATGTACATACTGTTCCACCATTGAGGCGCAACATTCCAGAGGTATTCATAATTTGAGTAAAACTGTTAATACATAGATTATATCAGAATTTCCTGATTTTTATTAAGGGGAAAATGAATTCTAAAGTTAGGGCTCAGAAAAAAAAGCTCTTTTCCTCATGAAGTCTGATTTTCTCAGTATTTACTTTTTTGTTCTTGTGTTTTCTATGATTCATATAAGATAATAAATCATGCAATTTGCATATATGTTTATTCTATTTTAACCTCACAAGTATATCATAAACAGACAAGTAAAATAAAAGAGATACATGTACATGCAGATATTACCCTAATTACCTAGAAATAATTTCGGAACAAAAAATAGAGTGCTTTTAAAGGACAAGTCCACTCCAAACATAACTTACTTTCAATAAAAGCGGAAAAATCAGACAAACCAATCGAAACAAGTTTGAGCAAAATCGGATAACTAATAAGAAAGTTATGAATTTTTGAAAAAGTATGTAAAACTATGGAACAATGAGAATCACAACACAATTTGCCAAGATGGTTATCAGTTTGTGACGTCATGTCCTCACAACTTATCAATTGCTTTATATAGTTTAATCACATTAATTTCCCTTTTATCCCCCAAAACTTGATTTCCCCATGCCTTTGCCCAGGTTATATGATTTGTATCATATTGCGTGCATGACATTTCCCAAAAACTTTTATGAATTTTGAAGAATTTATACTATTTTCTGAATATTGTATTTCATAATTCGATTTTTTTAATAAATAGTTTATCAAAATTCAATTTTTCTTAATTTAACTGGACAAAAGTTACTCTCTATTTGTGCATCCACACAAAAACATATTACTAACAATCTAACTTGGATGCTGGTGTGAACTGTGAAGAAATAAGATTCTTAGGGTGAATGAAAATAAGAAATTTATATTATCAATATAAAGAAAATAACAAGTGGATAGTGAGGACCATACGTCACAGACTCATGAGTGAGTTGCCAATTTGGGAAGTGATGCTCAAAGTTTTTCATGTCATTAAAAATTCATAACTTTCTTATTAGTTATCCGATTTTTCTCAAACTTTTTTTGATTGGTTAGTCTGATTTTTCTAGTTCTATTGAACATAAGTTATTTTTGGAGTGGACTTGGGCTTTAAACTCATGAAGAAAAAATATAAAATGTACAAATTCATTCAATAATTTTTGAATGCCAGTAGTTAATTATACCCCCCCCCCCCCAAAAAAAAAAAAAAAAAATCTAATGTAATGAAGAAAAAAAATGTCCTTGCCATTTCAATCTTCCAAGACCTTTTCAGTCTTGTGAAGACAAAGTTTGCAGTTGTTTCATTGGACTTTTAACACTATATTAATCAGTGTCAAGCAATCATTCAAGTACACTATTTTTAGTTTATGTCCATTCAGAGTCCCTCTGACTGCCATTGTTGAATGGACCATTAAAGTCTGCACTAATCATTTAGCAAACAGTTTATCATCCACTCCGGTGCAAATAATTGCTACCAACACCACAATGGACATTTGTTGAGTACATACGTGTAGACCTTGAAGCTATCAAGATGTCAGTCCCAAACTTTAAAATATGCACTACATGCATGTGAACTGAAATAACCCATTGGCTCAACAGGTGAACAGCCCTCTGCATCATACAAACACATGTAGGCACCTGTTCATTTCATATTAGGCCATGTAAAAAAAAACATACATGTTTAGCGTCCCCGCCCGCTTCCTTTTTGGGGGCCGCCTCCTATTTTTTTTTGATTTTTTTTTTTTTTTAAAACATGAAAAACACTGCTAAAATGGATCTATTTCTGATTTAAAAAAAAAAAAAAAAAAAAAAAAAATGTCGGCGGCCATCTTGAAAATAGCACGACTGTCAGGGAAAATGTACCGAGCGGCCATTTTGAAAGAAAAAAAAAAGAAGAAAAAAAGGGCCTCCTCCTTCCTATTTTTCGAAAAAACAGGACGCTTTAACATGTTTGTTTTTTTATTTGGCCTTAAAGTATCACAAGAATACATAATAGAATAACAAATTCAAACTTATCATCCCAAATTATCCTGTACTCAGAAATAAAAGTGGTGGCAACTTCACCTTTAAAAAAAAAGCACTACAGAGTACAGTGTTGTAATTAATTCTCAAAACAATAGATTTGTCATGTTTTCTAAAGTGCTCATTTTAGAAAGGTTTATTAATAAAGCAAGATCTGTTTGTTTTAAAAACCAGCCCCAATGTTTTGCAAACAAATACAATGTAGCTCTCTACATCAAACATAGGGGTACATGTAAATTAAAAAAACAAACAAAAACAATTTCATCATCCCATTTTCCCCTGTAAAAAAGCTGTATAACCTTATACATCAAGTACCAGTATATTTTGTGAGGGAATTCAAGTTCTTCATCGTGTTTCATCTTTATAAATAGTGTTTCAACTTTCAAGTCAAGTAAATCCACAATTACAAGGTATAATGGAGCCTCTGTCAAAGCCAGGTCAGAGACATGCTTTTTTTATAACGGCGAAAGAATAAAAATTGCCAGACAAGAATTTCAACAATTCATGATTCATGTCATTATGGCATCATTTCATTTATTTTCTTCTCTAATTTGTTCTCACGTTTGTAAAAATGGATTTGAAACTGTGTAAAACAAAAAAAAACAAAAAAAATGTGTGCACCCCTTTGAAAACCAAGTCCTGTTGAAAGAGATCATCTACCGTACTCCATGTGTAACTACATTTAAAAAGAAGAAAGGGAAGAAAAAAAAACCAGACTCTAACCGATAACCTTGATTTAGTTTCTCATTATATCTTTTCTGTCATTGATTTGAAATGAACTTTAAGCTTCTTATCTTTCCAGTGAATACCTTTGGTGCAATAAATAACTTGATAAAGGTCGGCTTAGCATGAATTAGACCAAATGTGTTTGACCCATCCCTTTCAGACTACTAAAGGTCATTGTATGGCTGTACGAAAACAGTATCATAAAGTAATTGATATTTTTCTAGCGTAAACATTGCATATCAAAAACACCATACTGGTACATGTATAATGGTCATGCGTTTCAAATGAAAACTCTATGGAAATTATGGGTTCCATTCTTGTCAAAATGTTGAACAAATTTCGGTATACCATATTAATTGATATTTTTTCTAGTGTAAACATGGCATATCAAAAACATCATACAATGTACATGTAAAATGACCATGTGTTTCAAATGAAAACTCAATGAAAATTATGGGTCCCATTCTTGTAAAAATGCTGTATCACACAAAAACTTTATAACTGGACAGGGCTTATTGTATCGTGAGCATATATATGATTGGCCCGCTGCCATATCAAGTGATCTCTTATGACTTTAAACCTACCGGTACTTTCTTTATAATACGTTTCCTATTTTCATGTGTACTATGAATATGATCATTCTTTACACAACGTTTCGTTATAAACGTTCCATACCAAATTTTCTTTTGTCTGAACAGGACTTCTGTCCTAATTTGAGATACCATTAGGGACGGCTGATGATGATCTGGTAATGGATGCAAGTAATGGACGGCAGAGTAGTATTCAGTTAGAGGATTAGGTCAGATTGATTGATAGAACGGTTCCTTCAGAATTTCAGACAAGCTTAAAGCTTAGCTTTGCTGCTCTGAATGCTACCTGTTTAGAAAAGTCAGGCTTTGCACTACAGTAAAGGCATTGTTTAACTACATGTATGTTTTCAGTTTTACAAATCAGAAATACATGGCCCTATGTACGTGTTATCAGTGTCTGTGATATGGTAAAATATTAAAGTCCTAAAAAACTTGTGCTTCCAAATGATCATGAAGTACCTCAAAAAAGTAAACAAATATTTGAGTGACTGGTTTTACCATATTCATTTTCCCCAATAGACTGTAGTGTTAAAAAAAAGAGGTTGGGAAAACTGTTTTTGAAATTTTGAATTTCAATAATAAATATCTTGATAATCAGACAGGTGATCGGCTTGTAAAAGTCACAGGATTTCTGACTGACCTAAAGGTTTACAATTATGATTGCAGCATGAGCTAAATCCAGGATCTTGTTTAGAATCTGAGACAGAGATACTCAATCCCTTTAAAAGGCAAATTCCCCTCTGCAAACCAGTTGGATTTGATAAAATTAGAAGAAAAATAAGGTACGCTGTAAGCAGTGAAACAAAATGATTATTTTTATTTTCTCTCTCTCTAAAAAAAAAAATAAAAAAATAAAAAATAAATTAAAAAAAAAAAAAATCGAATTCTACATGGAAACTTGATTTACATGTACAGTATATTCAGTACACAACTATTTCACAGTTGTGTACAACTACAAACCCATACAAATAGAACTAGTCCTTCATCAAAAAGTTAACGAATAAGAAAGTTGTTTTGAACTGTCAGTACAAAGCGAAAGGAAGAGATGCCCAAATTTTTATTTGTTTTATTACTTTCTTCAGATTTTCTTTGACTTTCACTGGTCCTTTCCTCTTCCTTTTATACCTTTTATTTAACAAAAACCTGACAAATGCATGTATCAGGGTGGACTTTCCCTTTAAATGCTACCTGGTAGTACCTGCACATTTATTCTGATGTATCGCCAGACTGAGCAATGATGATGCATGTGTGATCGTGCTTGGGTACAGGTACCGGAAATTCCTCCATGTACGCCTTCACCGAAAGCGAGAGTGAAAAATCCATAATTGTCAGGAAAATCTTGGCCCTTAGGGCTCAGATATAATTTAGCAAAGAAGAGAATGCATACATCTCAAAAGCAGGCTATTTTACCTCGCTTTCAGTGAAGGTGTACATAGAGGGATAGTAGTGTCAGTAGAATACCCTGATTTTAAAACGGATACATGTATAATCTTTATCTCGTAAGGAAAACTAAAGCAAAAACAACATCATATGGGATTAATATCAATTTTCACAAATATCTTTAGAAAAGGGAGATATAATGGGAGGATTTTCTTTTTTTTCTTGCCACCAACAGATTTTAAAAAAAATCATGTCAGCACTAAACAGCTCAAATTCTTGAAGAGCTGTGTCATGAATGTATGATCTGTAACTTTCATTAGCACAAATCCAGTATTCCTCTCTATGGGTTTTACACTTTTGGTATAGATGAACTTCATCTGCCCATGTACAGATTGTATAGATCTATGAACTGTCACATTATCTTACAGGTTATTGTGTTGAGGTCTTGAGGATACCACAAAAATAATATACAAGCTTCTCATTGGTTAAAAGATGTTTATGTCCCTTCTCTTTTGTTTTTTGAGTGTACATAATTTTAGATCCCTCAGTAGTCGAGCTATAGCCATGTAGTAATTTCATCATCATCATCATCATCACCACCACCACCACTACCTCTACCATCGCCACCATCACCACCTCCATCATCATCATTATTACTACCACCACCCAAACAACCATCATCACCACCACCACCACCACCACCACAACAACCATCATCACCACCACCACCACCACCACCACCACCACCACCACCACCACCACCACCACAACAACCATCATCATCATCACAGGGGTGATAGTGAGCACTAAAAAAAAATAGGTTTTTTGTTTTCCCCTCAACCACGCCCCCCTTGAGTAAAAAAAAAAAAGAAGATGATTCGCGGGGGAAAAATGGCATCTAACAACATTCCCCCCTTTCGAGTAAGAAAATTGAGACAAACTTGGGAAAATTGGGGGAAAAATAGGGAAGAATAGAGATAATAAGAGGGAAATCGGGAAAATCAGGATAAAATAGGGAAGGAAAAAAAAATTGGTAAAAAAAAAAAAAAAAAAAAAAAAAAAAATGATTTTTTTTTTTTTTTTTTTTTTTTTAAATCGGGAAGAAAAAAAAAATCGGGAAACCGATTTAAATCGGGTTTTTATCAGGCCTGCATCATCATCACCACCACCACCACCACCACCACCACCCCCCCCCCCCACCACCACCACCACAACCACCACCATCATCATCATCACTACCAGAATCAAAGACCCTTACCTGCATACTGCAGACCATCATCAGGATGCCTCCGATACCGATCAAGATGCCTGCTGGAAACAGAAAGTTAGCCTTCTCTGGTGTACTGAACCCAAGAAACAGAAAACCTGCTAGAATGAAGAAACTGCAGGCAGGGGAAAATAACAAATGTAAAAATATACCTTCTTGTCAGTACTAGCAGTGACAGCAGTCATAAATCTTTATATGCCACACAAATAATATCCCTGTGCCACACATTTATTGTTTCATGGGATGGATATCCCAAAAGGGTTCAGGATCTTTTAACTTTTTCAGTGCAATATTAAACAAAGGGATGAGACAGAGAAATTCCCCAAAAGGAGGAAGATTAAATGAGGTCCGCAGAAAACTGTAGAATATGTAATAGGATAGGACACGTTTTCCTTGCATTTAAATTCTAAATTTGAGAACTATTTGTTACCGCATCTTGCTCAAAGGGACATTTGTTTAAGTTACATTTTGTTCAAGTTACATTGTTTAGATGAGGGATTAAATCTCATCCCTGTAAACTATACCGGTGTTAAAAAGGTTGTCATGGAGCTATCCAAAACCAGAAATGAGTAATTTCACAATTGGTATCTATTTTTTTTGTGCAAAATTGGCACCAATTGCATGTTTCGCAAATGAGCTGATAGGCGAAAAACTCAACCAAAGTGTTAAAGGTAATACAAAGTTTTGGGAAATTTTTAAAATTGGGTGGATAGTGATTCTTTACAATTTGTATATAATTGGATGCCCCTGTGGATGTATTATTAGCACCAAAAATATTAGCCCCTAAAACACTTCTGCTTTCGAGAAAAATTGAATATAAAAATTTACCGGAGCTCCCGGTAAATTTTGATAAATTTCAAATAGTGCCTACAGCCGTACAATGGTAGCTGCGACCATGAAAATCTCAGAATATGTACAATGTAGTTGTGATATATAATTTCCAAACGGGAATAGCTAATCGGTCGATTTTAGTCAAGAAACATTGTTTTATAGCTTAATTAAAATCTTGGCCTTGAGAGGGAGTTATACAACACAAAGAGTTTATTATTTACAATTTCATAAATTTAGACTGATTTCAAACCGCGACAACGATCACTGAATATTGTAGGATTGCATATGCTTCCAATATGTTCATTTGAACCAAATTCATGACCCTGTACCAAAACTTTGTATAACCTTTAATAACCTTAGATAATTTAACAGGCATTACACTGTAGGCATTAACCTACATTTGCCGCCCTTAATCCAGGTTTAGAACCTAAAATAAATTCATATTATTTGCAAGCAAATTCTGATTTTTATTTTTAACTTTTTAAAAGTGATCATGTGATATCATCAGTTGATTCCCCCCTATTCATTATTATTCAACTAAAGATTCAAGATCTGCAGAAAAATGTGCAATGTGTGTGTCTGTGTGTGTGGTGGGAGGGGGGGGGGGGGGAGTATCATAGTTGTATCCCAACTTTCATTGTCCTGAAAGAGGGCTACATGTATATGGGGACAAAAGCTAACAAATTGTTAATAGAATGCAAACATTTATGATATTCTCTGGGATGATAACAATACCATTGAAGGTTATATGGGCACAATATTGGCTAGGAGCATGACACTTTTTTGTAAAGATGATGATATACGTGTAGTACTCTAAACAATCATGCAAAACAATGGAAAAGTATGTGTGTTTGAACTTTAACCCTAAATAAACTCCATTGTCACTTTACATGGATAAAACATACATGCAGAAGCAGCCTAGCTACTCGGTGTGAAGACCCACACAATGGGAATTCCATCAAGGTAATATAAACCGTGAATATAGACCCAAGGGCATGGTCAATATTTGTCTTGACAAGGAGCGTTTTATTAACTTGTTGAATTGGGCTGTCGTCAATACCAGAGTTTAATAAAACATAGAAGGACACTATGCATGTACATGTACGTACACACTTTTGAGCTGATTTGATGAAGGCCAATATAAGACTTGAATAAGGACAAGAGAAGAACATGTAAGCTTGAACAACAATATCCAGTCTTTTCATCTCTTTTTGGAAAATGAGATGAAAAGGATCTTCTTCAAATAATTGTCCAACAGAGAATATAGAATTCCTGCTCGGCACCAAAAGGGTATTCACTTATATACAGGCAAACCTGTCTATAGCGACCGCCCAAGGGAAACACAAAGAGTGGTCTTTGTAGACCTAGATGGTGTTTGTAGAAAGGTTCTTTTAGTATACGTTTCAATGAGAAACTATTTTCAAGGGAAACAGAAAATGTGGTCTTACTAGACAGGTTCCTTTAGTACATCTTTCAATGAGAAACCATTTTCAATGGAAACAAACAAATTTGGTCTTTGTAGACAGGTGGTCACCAAAGCAGGTTCAACTGTACTTTAAAACAGATTTAACACCCTACTGGCTCTGACGAGATGGCTTACTATCACATTATTAGCATAATTATAAGCAAGCAATTTTATGTTGTTTTATCACAAACTGAAATAACAATTTATGACTCGTTGTTTTATAAGATTTATTATGACAATTAGAGTACCTCTCATTACAATGAAAGATAAATTGATGGAACATACATTAACCCTATTGTATCTAGCCCGAGAAGCCCCCCCCCCCCCCATTTATTTTTTAGTGATAATTTGTTAACGCCAAAGAATCATGCACTGAAATTCTATGACTTTTTTTTCTTCAAGTCTTGCGCATCTTTTGAAATAAATTTTTCGAGGATCAGACCTAGCGTTACAGAGTCACATGACCTTTTGTCTTTGCATGTCAGCCCCAAAATAGCTCATTTTGTGATTTGTGTACAAAACATGATATGGAAATATCATTTTTCCAAAAAAACCCAGAGAAATACATCAGAAATTATCAAATCAATAGGATTAGGGTTAGAGATACATTTAGAGTTAGGATTAGGATTAGGGATAGGGATAGGGGTAGGGTTGAAGATAGGGTTAGGGTTAGGTAAAGTGTTTGGTCCAGAGCTGAATATTGACTTCAGAGCAATCGCCACCGAAGCATACGTCACAGAATCACCAGCCCACCATAATGCTTACCTGAACAAGATCCGTACAAATCTAGTGCCGATTTTGTCAAAGAGGAGACCACTTGGAAACACCGAGCCCTGCATGCAGAATGCTGCTACCGTAAACACCAGCTGGAACTTGCTATCCTGATAGGCACACGGGAGCATGGGATCATCTAATCCATTCTCGTGTCCAGAATCGTTGCCGGAGAGAATGTATTGAGAATCGGTCACTTCAGGGGACGATGTCCCATATCCGAAGGAATCGTTGGAGAAAACGACGTCCGGGGAAAGGACATCATCGCACCCTTCTCGGAAGAACTGTTGCTGTTTGAGGATGAATACGAGAGACGGCCATCCGTAGAAGATGCCGGAGTTGAAGGCGTTTTCAAGTATACTGAGGATCAAGGTGAACGTCTTCTCGATCTTGGACCGTAACCTGGCCATCTAAGTAGTAACAGAGTGCATATATACAAGTTACAACTGTATGTGGTGGATCCTTTACAGCCTGTTCTTACAGCCTATTCACGTGATTCATAATAAAGGATATTTATTGAAACCTGTGAAACATCGTATAAATTATTATCGTTTAACAAAAGAAGCGTAATGCACAACAAAAAAAACAAACTGTTCAGTGCATGAGAACGTACTACAGCAAAAAAGGTGTATGGGTGGATCTAAGGTGATGCTAACTAAACCGAGTGTACTTCAAGTTAAGATACAGTGTAAGTGTAACAGTTGATAATAATTTGTTAAATGGAGATTCGCGGACGAGTACTACTATTTCTGTAGGAGGATTGAGAGAAATTGATGATTGGTCATGCATTAATTATATCAGACTGATGTCTATATTTATTTTACAACATGCCATGAATATTGTCAGGAAAAATACTAGAAACAAACACAAAACAAAATCTGTTTTTGTTTTATTCTGTTCGTTGAAAACAAAACCCACAAAAACTGTAACAGCAGCAAAAATGAGCAAACTATTACCCAGACACTGTGTGTCCAGAAGCTAGGGTTGTGTATCCGGACGGTTGATTTAAAACAGTAATTTGAAGAAGTTTAGAAAAAAGATATCTTAAATTTTATGACACTTTTATTGGAAAATATCACTATTATTACAATAAATACAAAGGACAAATGGACAAGTATATCAATTGCAGAATGGTTTCACATCTACCTTTCCAACTGGACCAACCCCTCACTTTTTTCATAATCATGCATCTCTCTCTCAGCTCAGTCTCATACTTGACCTCCAAGTTTAACGTTCCACTAGATTATGTGATGTCACTGCACCCCCTATTTCTTTGTATGTGTCTACTACCGAAACCTGCACCAACTGCAGGAAGCCAAGCCAATCAAAGAAGAACTTAAACTGAAGGTAATTGATCATTAAACAAAATATGTAATTTTAACAATATTGTTTGTTATATTCATGATATTCGAAGGCCTTTTGTTTGTTTAATACCACAGAAAAAGTTAATTTATAATCACTGAGACTATCATCAAATGCACACTTGAGTCTAGTATGTAAAGTAACTTTCTGTTAGTCCTTCCTTTATTGTGTGAAGTGCAATTAGCATGATTAGTTTCCGATGCGAGAACCGCGCGCCTCCAGGCCAGCCAAGGCGGGGTTATGAGAGGCGATCGAAAAGAGAAGGATTCGCGGCGGAGAAGCAGCCTAGAATCTCAGACTCAGCGGAGCATATCTCGAAAGAAATTCGTACATCAATGATTTCGTGAAATTTATTTACCTTTGCAGCTCGGTTGTCACAATCACACCAATGTAGCAAAGTTATCAAGCACCAGTAACCATTTCTTTATGTCATAAGTTAATTCTGTTTCCAATTCCAAACACACTCGTAGTCGTATCCACGTGTGTCGGTAGTAATTCGTCTCGATGGTTTGTTGATATCATTCGCGACTTTGATTGGTCGGTGGTCGGTAGCCGGGAAAACGCGCGTTGAACTTGGTTTGAGTTCGTTGGTTGAACGGGGGCGCGTCTATCACTTATCAGTGCTTGCCAAGTTCTTCGTGGTCTGCTGCCAGCTGGAGTTTTATTCTCGTTATTATTTTTCCAGGAAGAAGTGAAATATACCACTGGAATGTGCATACAAAGTACAAGCAGGGAGTTGTGAATTATAATACATCACAGGGGCGTACGGGGGGGGGGGGGGGGGGGGGGGGGGGGGGAGGGGTTCAAACCTCCCCTTTGGTATTTTTATTTGTGTAAACCCCCCTAAAAAAACCTAAAACCCCCCCCCCCTTTGGTTTTTTATTTTTATTTTTTAATTTATTAAAAAAAAAAAAAAAAAAAAAAAATTATACCCACGGCTAACCTAAAAAAGGTGCCCTTACCCCCCCCCCCCTCCAACGATGAAAAATGTCAAATTTTGAAATTTCGAGACCAAAAAAAAAAAAAGTGTTTGCTTGATTATATTTTAGAGTCTTACCGATCGTGTTATAGTCAAATCCACAAATCTATCCATAATTCAAAAGGAAGTGGAAACACATGAACCAAAATAACAAAGAATAATCGTTATTCAGGAAAAACTATTTTATTTGTCCAATCTGTTGTTACTAGCAATCATCACATGATCTTGAGTACATAAAAAAAGGTTTGACATTAAAATAAACCATTTGACAATTTCAAAATACTGTATCACATTCTCATACGTACATGTATCATAGATAATTAACTTGATTATTGTCCATTTTTCTTAAAGTGTACCAACCACCAGAACATATTTTATATCATGTGATCTATTTCGACGCTTCTCATTGGCTACATTCTTCAACCCATTTTTATAATATCTTTTGTTAGTTCATACTTCTTAACCATTATTATGCCATGCTAATTTTTTCAAGTTGACATGTTGCACTGCAGCTGTACATAATCATTCTATTTAAATATTTGGCACACTTCAATAAAAATGATGCAACAACACATGTTCAATCATCGCACGATCTGGATTAAATTGGCACAGTTTCAAGAAAAATATTTTATGTAAAATATATCATTTTTTACTAGAAATACAAACTGCACTAGAGTACTAACATGAAATAATGTTGCATATTGATAATCGTTCAATTCTGTTTATCTCCTAATATCGTACAATTAAATCACATATGATATTTTTAGAAATTTAACTGTTCTCAAATGACATGATTAGGTTTTTCCCCTTAATATAACATCTCTCAAAAGATACACAGAGAGGATAATGAAGAAACATAGAGATATCAATCACTAGCGAAGGAATAATTTAATACCTTCCTTCTTCTGCAGCATTTTCACCTACAGGTTTCCATTCATGAATTTTCTTTGAAAGAAATATACTTTGCAAAGTTACTGAGTATTATAAACTGAAATACTGAATATGCATTTTTTACATACATTAGTGATACTTGAGATGATGCATACGTGGTGTAGAACAACGAAGAAAGAAAAAATTAACAAGAAAAGTGAAACTGCTGTGAAAAAAAACAGTAAAATGATTTCATAATAACAGTAAATGTTAAGTCAATTACGCCTCATCCTGATTCATCTTCACAGAATATGACAGAAACCTAACTTGACATTACAGAGGAATGCAATAATGTCAAATATACATGTACCGGTAGGTAAAAATTTCTTAATTCTCATCAATACAAAGTTTTATAAAACTACATAAAAAATGATATAAGCAAAATTCTGCAGAAAGACACATGTAGAAAATAATTTGTCATAAATTATATGCACTCCTAGAGGTCATGTACACTGGGCCCATGAATTTCATTCCGACTTAAAAAAGGTATTAAAAAAAAAGAATTAACAAGAACCCGGTACACGGGGATACCTATTTCTTGTTTAAGATCAGAGGCAGGACAAAAGCCCTGTATAATACATTATTCTTGCTTTTTAAGCATATATGGATACAATTTCAATTTTTTTTAAATTTCCTTTATTCACTCATTTACACATGTCAATATACTGTTTCACATAATCTTGAAAATATAGAAAAATATTCAACAAATTCACACGTTTTGCATGTACATGTATATACAGTTGAACTAGATGTTTTTATGTGATAATCTCTTTCACTCACATTAGTACATGTGTACATACACTATAACATGATTTAAGCTTATTCTTTTATATTTTTTAAGTTCATAGCATCATTTATTTTTCCACAATTATAAAAGTACAAAAATGTACATGTATATGTGTCAGTTAAAGGAATATGAGGTGAACAGCTGCACGAATACATGTAACATACAAACAAAACACAAATCATAGTGACAGTGACATACTGTATCCTGTTCTTGCAAATACTTTTGGCACTGTTTAAGCCAGGGAAATATAGAAAATTATTGCATAAGCTTGGAATAAAGTTTAGAACATGAGTTGTGAATGATACAATTACATAGTATTTCTTTTATCAAATATTATCTTTGGTACAAAGCTGGTAAAAATATACAAGGCAAGGGCCGACATGCCTACTTCCTACATTAATTTATTTACAATAGGTCACTTTAGTGATGTAACCAAATCTATGCATATATGCCTTTGTAAAGCGCCTATATACAAATTATGTCATTCACCTGTTATTGATAATTGTATTCAAAAGTCAGAAAGCAAATTGCATATACTGTACATGTATTACGTGTTGTTAGGTACGGCAAGCCATCATTTTTGTCCTACCTAGCAACAACTAATGTAAGCAATTTGCATTCTGACTACTGAAATGCAATTATTTGTAACAGGCGAATGAAATAATTAGTTTTGGTGCACTTCAGTATAAATTTGGTTATATTACGAAAATGGCCTATTCAGTATTGGTCCTAATTACGGCCCTAATGGCATGATCAACGAGCAGGTTTCTCACCCTCAGCTGGACTTTATTTACCCTTGCTCAAAACTGAGTGGAATATACATGTGTACATGTAGGGCCTTAGGGCAAATTCAAAGAATGCATTTATGTAATTATTGTATTTTACATGCCTACATTAAAGACCCACTGCAATACTTATAGATACTTGTGCCCTCTATATAGCAAACAATGCCTAATCGTTGCCTGTTGGTTCCCCCATGATCCCCTTTTTCTTATGTTAATTGAGAGCTGATTTGATGAGATAACCACCTGTCAGTGACCTTGCAGGGAGGTTAATCCCCCCCTGGCCAAAATAGTACCGACAGGCTTTAAGACTAAGATGTAGATAGAGGCATTCAAAGGCAGGTGGTCTTTATGTTCAAGTTCCAAAGTGAAACGCTGCTCAAGGGAAAGAGCAAACATTTGTTTTTTACAGACAGGTTGTCTTTCCATAGGGTGGAGAAAGCAGGTCTGACTGAAAAATATGATGAACATTTCTAAATTACTTCACCATTATAAAAGCTGTGCCCTTGAGGATTTAGACGGGCCCTCTCTTCTTCCACTGAAGTCTCAACACGCCTGTCTACAAATCTAACTCGTAAGTAATACAGCAGCTTCAAGAACCCATGCGCAAGGAATACCGCTACGACAATCCCAATCATAGTTGCCGCGGCGATGCCCGGTGCATTCTCAAAATCGATGATGGGGTAGATGTACAGGTCACCGTACGGATCCGTCCCTCCCGCGACCCAGTAGAAGATGGCGAAGAGGCCATAGACGATGAGGTAGAGGGCAGGGTAGATGACATGGTGGAACTTGATGGTTACCTTGGTGATGAAGAGGTCAAGGAGACAGAAGATGCTGGTGAAAAGATGGATGCTCATGTCCAGGTAGAGGGGTGGTTTCATGTCCTCCGGTATCATGGGGCGGAGGATAGGCCAGTAGACCAGGGTGACGATGATGGAGGACGTGATGGCAATGTTGAAGAGGAGCCACTGCAACTGATTACGGATTCTGTGAACTGGAGAAGAAAAAAAAGAAAACAGAGGTTAAATAATAATAATAATTTATATTTATAAGTGCCTCATTTAAATATTGTTTTTAAGTGATTAAAGAAGATCATACAGTAGAAAATAGGAATAGATTTGATCTAAATGTTTTGGCTTACATGTCGGTATGATCATAAGTGTATGAGGTATGGGGGTGGGCTGCTGCAGCCTCAGAGTAATCTTGAAGTTCTAATATTCAGATACCGTAACCGGCACTTCATATCTGGAAAGCTAGGTGCCTGAAGGCAAATATTTTTAAAATTAGGCAGCGAGAAGTCCAAATATCTTCATATTCACTCAGTGAGATGCTTTATAGTTAGTTTATATATCTTATTGTTATCTTTTGTACACTTCTATCATGCAAAAAACACATTGCAATAAAGGGTAAAATTTTCTTTTTCTTTTCTTTTTGCTCTCTCACTGCACTCACTCTCAAATTTTAGGAGCTGAAAGTTGATATTCAGGCAAAAGCCATCAGCCCTCTTCGATAAAGTAAGCCTGTTTGTGTTTTTGTAAGTGTATCCCAGATGTTTGAGAACTTTGGGTATACTATATTCATATTATCAGCTTATTTGTAAGGTAAAGAATTGGAGAAAATGAAAAAATAAAAAAGCGATATAAACTTACATCCATCATGTGAACCATCTAATCCTCTGTGATCCAAGACGAAATTCAGAAGAACGTTGATGCTAGCAGTGCAGAGATAGACGGTCACAAGCATGTACGTCCAGTTGGTCAGGTAGATGAGGAATTTGACGCCGAAGACCCCTTGAATGCTGAAAACTATGAAGAAGATGAGGAACCCAAAGAAATAGCCGCCAACCAAGAAGCGGTAGAAGCAATAGATGAAGAATGGCATGCCATCCTGGATGAGAAATTATATGAATTGAAAGAGATATGGTAGATAAGGAGTAAGTAGATTATAAGTATGTTATGAAATCGTAAAGTACAATTATGTTTTACGAGCAATGGTTGCTAGAGTATGCATATTGGTATGTTGGAACATCATCATTGCTCAAATGAAATATGTATGTATATACCAGGATCCCCAGCCTATTATCAATACAAGGTATCTCTAGACTGTCTTGCAGGTACCAAGAATGAATGATCGAGATCTTGATGATGTGATGTGAATGATCTGTTTTATAAATTGGTAATGAACTTCTTTCTTATTTGATAACCCCTCATGTGAAATGCTATAGATTTGACACTCAGTGACACACATAGGCAAAATAAGACAAATATGACCAATAGAAACTGAGAAAAGATACATTATCTTATGATGTGGAAACGCCTACCCAAATGTCCACTTTCAAACACATAATTTAATAGTATAGTATTAATGACTGCTTTGAGAGAAATAGTTGTTTTATTACGCTCAAGGGAAGGTTAGAATTGTGCTATTCCCCGAGGCTTGCCGAGGGGAATAGTCCAATTGTAACCTTCGAGAGCGTATGAAAACAACTATTTCTCGAATATTAAAGCAGTCATTAATACTTTTATATGCCGAAAAAAAATAGACTAAAAAATAAAAAATAAAAAATAATTTACATTTTTGTCGAAGACGGGATTCAAACTCTTACGTACAACAAGAGGTGTATCGAAAACCAACGCTTAGACCACTCGGCTATCGCGCGCCGTTAACATGCTTGGCAGTTTTCTCCAATATATACATTAAAATGGATTGAAAACGGCTCCGCGTGAGGGATGCTTCGCAAAAGCTCCATGAAACGGACCCTTCTTTTACTTTTGCAATGCATATTGGCACGAACTTAGATCAAGATCTATCGGCAGATGTTGTTTTTTGTTTTTGAGAGTTAATTTTCGTCTTCATGTCAACAATGCAAGATAAAATTGTCGGTAAGATCGATCGAGATTCAATTGTATTGAAATTGCCGACCAATTTTTCGCACACGTATGGTATCCTCCATCGCTCAAACCATTTTTTAACATGTAAACCTATGGGGTAACCAGGGAGACTGACCTATTTTTTTAATAACCATGGTTATTAAAAATATTGAAATGTTTTAAGCATGGTTACCGGGAATTTTACAGGAACAGTTGAAGTTTATGAATGCAATTCGACCAATCAGATGGCTGGATTTCTTAAGTGAGGTATATAATCATTGATACACTATGTAATGATTCATAATGTATAAAGCACTAAAGGATTAACAATAACAGATCTTACAGATGTTTGTCAGATTAACCTGCTTCATTTTTTTACTAGACCTAGACCTATGTATGTGTGTTTGGGGGCGGGGGCGAGCACCGGCCTCCACCCCCAACAAATTCAACAGAAACATTACTTGTGCAGTGGACTCTGAGAATACTGTACCTGGCAGCAACTGACATCACTTATTTTGTTGCATGTCAATTTGAAGTCTGCCACTGCGAACTTGCCACACCGTCTGCCAGATCGCTCGACAACGTCACTGGAATCATCATGTCGACTTTCTCCACTCATGATTGACGGCTGTTCATTCAGAACAAGTATTACGTGAAATGTCTAAATGTTAAAAGAAATCCAAAATTGCATGCAATCCCACTCACAGCTCAGCTCAGCTCAGTAAACTACTCGATAAATTGCAAAATATACTTTACAGTCGAAGCTACGTGTACGTGTACATGTAGGCCTTCCGGATACTGGACCGGACTCGATCGTCACTCAAAGCCGGATCTGTCGGGGTAGAACACAGAGCGGTGCCTAGTGGGCCGTAGAAGCATCTCTGAAATGGGTAGCGAGTACGAGTCTGACGTTAGATTTTAGTCTTGCTCCGGCTGAAGCCAACAAAAATATTCAAATATAGGGCGTACCTAATAATACATCGACTGTGTTTCAACCAAATAAAACTTATTTTGCAAACTCCTGGCTGGATGATATTTAATACTTGATTCGACCACGAATGAGACTCCAAACTAACGGGGTCGCGCCAGGGTTTGATCGGAAGAGCTTACAATCAAGAGGCTATCTTTATCAGGGAGATTTAAATCATCCATATTTTCGTAGCACGAGACGCTGGTCTATAATGTGTGTGGGGGAAAGGCGGCTCGAAAATGAAATGGGAAAATACTGCTTAAATAAATCCCCATGATTATATATGTGATTTTAAAAAGACTGCATATGTCAAATAAAAAATAAAAAATAAAAAGCTGCCCCCGAAAAAAAAAAAAATTAAATAAAAAACCAAACAAGATAAAAAAATTATAAACGTTTCCCTGTACGTCGGTGGTTACTACCAAAGGTTACCACTCACATAGCTCACTGAGCCCTCTCTGAAACATAAGCTCTCTAAACCCATTTCCGAATTCCACCACGTGATAAATACTGAGAAAATAAACAAACCCCTATGATGCCCCACCCCCTCCTCTATTAACATGCTGCTGTCTTTTTTTCAGAAGGTATAGGCCTAGGCTATAGCTTTTCTGTCTGCGAATCAGGGGCAGCAATTTCTTTTCATGACAGGGGGACTAAATGTGAGGGAAAATCTGTATTCCGCTGATATCACGGTGATACCAACGGAGTACAGATTTTCTACAATAAGTACTTGTACATTTTGAAGGATATTATTCGGGGGGGGGGGGTATACTCACATATTAAGACACAAACGGGGGTGTGCCGCTCTATTGGGTCGCTTTTTCACACACACAAAATACCTAAAAATCGGTCCCTTTTTTAACAAAAAATACCATTAAAAATGGGTCTGTTTTTTTCTTCAAAATGTCCCCAAATTTCGGGCGAAAGATGGGCCCTATTTCGAAAAAAAATCCCCCCAATTGACCCTTAAAAGTGGGTAGGGGTTTTGAGGCTTGAGCGGAAGGAGGAAGGGGGGGGGGGGGAGGAGGTGGGGGTGATTTGTTTCTAATTCGATACCAGTGATTTACAAATGTTGCTGAAAGAACATGATTTGTCCGGGTTTTTCTCACTTTTGCCTATTATGCCAGAGGCGCGGCACTCTAGGGAGTGGGCATGGGGGTGTGTGTGGGGGGGGGGCACAGTGCCTCCACTTTTTCAGGTACCCCAAGGTCATCCTTTTTACATAGGAGAATTGCCACTTTTCTTTTCTAATAACTCCTTTTCCTCTCTATTCATCTCTGGTGAGGCTTTTCAGGTGCGAGAAAAATTCCCCTTTTCACTTTTGATACTTTTGCCTTTTTAATTTTTTTTTATACTTAGACTCGTGCCCATTTTCCTCTGTAATAAGAACCCCTTTCTCTCAAATGACAGGTTTCACCTCTGTCAAGTGCCCCTTTCATTTTGACACGTGCCCCCTTTTCTAATAAGTACCATATTTTCTTCGGATAATTTTCCCACTATATGAGCCCCTCCCCTTTTCAAAATGCCCCTTTTAACCTCTGATAAATGCCCCTATTAAACTTTGATAGGTGCCCTTTTCTTCAACACATTCCCCATTTCGAATCTAACAAGTGCCCCTTTTTCATTTTCTGATGAGTGTCCTTTTCAGGTGCAAAAAGTTCCCTATTTTCAGCTCTGAGTCTGGAATTGCCCATTTTACTTTGACACGTCCCCCTTTTCTTTTGTATTAACTGTCCTTTTTCCTGCTGATAAGTGCCTAATTTTCCTTTCTCAATAACATGCACCCCTATTTCAAAGCGACGTAGAGCCTCTTTTTCTTAATATTCCAAATTGATCACTCGCTACGCTCGCTCGCATTTTATAGATGTTATATTATGTTACTTATAAAAGAACTTTTCAGTCCTTCTTCATTAGATTGTGCTTGAAAATCATCAGGGTTAGTTTTTTTGTCTTTTTCATAAGATTTGTCATTTTTCGCACTGTGATCCCTCAACTCTTTATTTTTTTTGCACATTTGCTTCGCTCACTCGAAAATGAATATTCAGACCATCAAACCCAACTGCAAAGTATCCCACGTAAAGAGAGAAATATATATTGGCATCCCTGGTATAATCACAATCATGACGATGTAAGGGTATATACCAATTAGCTTAATATACCAATATCTATGATGGTGTATGTTCCCTTTGAGGTTTCCCTTTTTAGGTGCCCCTTTTTCCAGAAAGTCCCCTTATTGTTGGTGCCCCTTAATTTTGGAAGGCGCTCTGGCGCACCTGCATTAATGCACTTGTCTGATCAATGCGGATTTTGTTCGGTCCCACCCTCCACCCCCAACAAAGAAAGAGATTTTGCTTATTACGCCACTGTTTGCAGTATCTGGCCCATGATCTTGAGGGTGCACGACCCCCGACTAATCACAAAGAAGAATTTCTATATTAATATTTTGAGGCAAAATTGGGAATGCCATGAAAAACCCGGCTCTTTGCTTCGTTATAATAGATCTACTATCATAATGTTGTTAACAAAATTTATGTCGATATATCGGCAAGTCTATAGGCCTAAGTAATAATAGACTTTCTTTGTGATTGAGTATTTACATACTTCTATAAATAAAGATATGCAAACGTATTCGTATTATTTTGTCTTTTCTTCTTGTGAATATATACGCAGTATATTTAATTGAGCAATGATCCCTCTAAAAAATGAGGGGGGGGGGCGGGGCTGGGCTAAATGTCCGCCTGATACCTCATTTGAAAAGAAAAGAGAATAAAAGTAAAGCCTAGAAAGAAAATAACAAAATATAAGAGTGAACAGGAAGGGGAAAAAAAAGAAAAAAAGAAAGGGTTAAAAAGAAGTATCATGTCGGAAGAGAAGGAAAATAAATTGAAGAAAACAAAATAAATTCTTAAGAAAATAAAGATAAAAGAAGAAGAAGAAGAGGAAGCAGGAGAAGAAGAATGAGGATTGAGGCTGGGTGGAAGGTTGGATGGAAGGTGGATAGAATGGTGAGAAGGAGGAGGAGGAGGAGGAGGAGGAGATGGCGAAAAAGACGACCACCAAGTAGATATCACAGAACCAACGAATTTCAAGTAAGCACAGAACCGTAAAAATATTTAATATGCGCATGTGCTCTACAGAGGGCGTTCATAACAATCAAGATGGCGGAATTTGTGAATGTGAAAGATTCCCAAAATGTAGACATGGAGGAAGAAAAAGAGCCAGGCAGTACCGATGAAGAATCAAGTGACGGCAGTGATGATGATGCAGATGACCAAGAGATAATTCTGCTTTTGGAGGAGGTAAATCATATTCTTAATGAAGATACTTAATGCCGTACCGAACGTTTTAAGGGCGATTCCCTTGTCCCACGCACTTCTTTTTAAGTGATGTTTGCAGTGTCAAAAGGTAGGCCTATGATGATGGATTGATGAAGTTGAAGAAGGAGAAGAAAAAAGAATAGATGGAGAGAGAGAAGGAGAAGGAGAAGGAGAAGAAGAAGGAGGAGGAGGAGAAGAAGAAGGAGAAGGTGAAGGTGAAGGTGGAGGAGGAGGTGGAGGAGGAGGAGAAGGAGAAGGGAGGTGGAGAAGAATGAAAGAGAAGAAGAAGAAGAAGAAGGAAGAGGAGAAGAAGGAGGATGAGGACGGGAGAAGGAGGAGAAGGGAGGGAGGAGGAGGAGGGAGGGAGGGAGGAGGAGGAGGGAGGGAAGAAGGGAGGGAGGGAGAGAGAATTAGGATGATGAGAAGGTGACTGAGTGTAGACTCGAGGAGGTGGAGCAGGAAAATGCCTCCTTTTGAAGTTTTGAAGATCCCTATCACCATCCTTATTTTGTATTTGCAGCAGTTACCCCTGGGGTGATTGTCCTGGGGAAGAAGGAGGAGAAGAGGATAGTCGAGAAGAAAGAAAGAAGAAAAAGGAAGGAAAGAGAGGGAGAAGGAAAAGGAGAAGGAGAATGAGAAGAAGAGAGGAGGATCAGGAAATAGGATGAAAAGGAGGAGGTGGAAAATGGAGAGCTAATACTGCATTAATTTTTAAGTGAGAAAAGGATGGAGAAAGAATGAAGGAAGAAATCAAATAGAAATGGAAGAAGGAAATACAAAGAAAAGCGGGAAGAAATTAATGAATCACGAAGTATAGAAAGAGCAAAGAAATAAACAAAAGAAAATCGGTGAAAGAATAAATTTAAGGGAGAACAAGGCATGAATAGAAATGTTTTATTTTTGGTATTGTTCGATATGCCAGGTGAACACCAACCCATACCAATATGATGGGCATCTCAAATTGATCAACCTTCTGAGACAGGCAGGAGAGCTGGAGAAGTTACGCAAATCGAGACAGAACATGAGTGAGCTCTTCCCCTTGACTGGAGGTAAGATTCATTAAATAATTGGTGGGATTTAATTCAATTCAATTTGTTTTTATTCATTTCCATTCTAAATAAAAACAATACAAAGAGAAATACAATAATAACCATTGCAATATATATATATATATATAAGAAAATGAAAATAGGGAACTAAAGAACAAGTCCAAATGACCTTGTGGAGGTATAGTTCACCGAACAGTAGTTGAGAGATTTACATATCTTCCTTTTAAGAAGTTTTAGCTGAAATGATAATTTATAATAATGGTAATGATGATGATGATGATGATGATAATAGTAATAATATAATATAGTGAAATGATGAAAAATGGGAAGTGGGAGAGAATGCAAAACTAGGACAAGAAATTCACTTGGCCTTTGCTTTCCAAAAAGGTGTTTCATATATATATCTTTTGTCTTGGTTTTCATTAGAACTATGGATGCAGTGGATTCAAGATGAGCTGAAATTCATGGAGAGCGGAGACGATCGTCAGAAAGTCATGGAACTCTTTGACAAGGCTGTGAAGGATTATTTAGGTTGGTATCCTCCACCGGTGATTAAAGATAAAGTTGAATTCTGGTCATGCGATTGCATTATGAAAGAAACAGTGTGGAATCGATCAGAAAAAGTTGGTCATGTTTCGTATAAGTATTGGTGTTTCCTGCAAGGTTCTGGAGTCGTCAAAATGATTAGAAACTGGCCCAGTCTTGGTAAAGTAACAAGCCCTTTACACAGAAAGATGTTCATGGGACTACACAAACATGTGGCATAAAAATAGGGCCTCATTTTTAAACTGCATTTAAAGAGCCATGCTTTTCAGGGAACAATTTTTCTCTGATGTTCTTCCACTCTCGCATAATAACAATCATAACACTCGCAACTTATTTTTCACCTCTCCCTAGAACTCAACCTTATATTTAAATCCTGATTGTGATTTTGATGTTAATTTTTAATTTGCACTTTACTGCAGACTCTACACAGGGCTACACACTTACTTTTTGTTGTTGCAAGAGGTCTGGATTAGCATTTCTGGGGTCTGTACGCATAGGCCTCCTGTAATAATGTTCAGATCAGGAGGTCCTTAGCTAGAATAAATGCAAAAAAAAGTCATGTGTACTAGGCACAGGTCTGTTTATGTTGCGCTCTCCTCCATGCAAAGCAATGAAGACCGAAAGTCTGATGCTTTTGGTGTTGGATATCAGAACTTTTTTGTTTAACATGCATACCCAGTGGGATTAACCGTGAGTTATCTCAGTGTTAGTATTCAAGAGGTTAATATCCCAGACTCGGCCAGTACTTTGCATTCTTGTACATTTACATGCTTGAGCAATGAGGACAAATGGTCAAAGAACTTTCATTACTTCCGTTGTCCCTTGCAATTTAATCTCACATGGCAAGAGACTCACCATTTCAATGATAAATAATAATATTCCACTTTTATATAGCGCCCAATACATCCTATTACCCCGGTTATCGGATTCAGGCCTACCCGCATACAATGTATGCACATTCTCCACTCCCTGGGGAGCATTCTGGCCAGACGCCATTTACAAGCGCACACTGGCTCATCCAACCACATTAACTTTCGCATCTAAGTAATACATATTTTGATGTTGTTGCAGCTCTGGATCTGTGGTTGGAGTACTGCCAGTTCTCTATCGGAGGCATCGGTTCTCCGGAAGGAATCGCTAACGCTCGTAGGGTCTTTGAAGAAGCCATCATGGCCGCTGGACTCCATGTTGCTCAGGGCAGCATGATCTGGGCTGTATACAGGGAGTTTGAGAATGCCTTGCTATCAACACTCCAGGTATATTTCAATCTCAAATTTTTTGACTTAGTTTTTATCATCTATATTAAAAATGTTGCAAAAATACCTTTTGAGTGAGGATATATGCAGCAATGGCAACCAGTAGGATTTTATCTTATTTAGTATGATAACAAAAGTGAAATATGATATCACCTCTTCAGTGAAAATAAGACTTTTCATCTCTCAATTTTGTTGTTATTGTTGATTTATTTAAATATCTGACACCTGTTTTTCTTTTAATTGGTTTATAATGTCGGTTAACAGGAATGTGGCTCATATTTCCATGAGTATAATGCAAGTCTACACAGTAATTTTTTCTCATTTCTACTTATGGCTTGAACCAAATTCTCATTGGCCAAAAATATGCAAGCAATTATTAAGTTGAATCATTATTCTCATTATGCAATTAACAGAGATGCCAACTGTTCTGTTTTTGCCGTATTTGTTCTGTTTTTTCGATATGAATACGGCAGTACGTTTTTTGTATGTTTTGTTACGCTTTTTTTTTTTTTTTTTTTTTTTTAAATTCTTTTTTAGTGATGTTTTTCTTAATTTCTGATCATGGGCTTTGTGTCACAAGTGTATTATGCACCTACATCTTCAATCAATGCACGCAGGATTGTGATACGGGCCCCAAACTGCGCACATTGCGAACAACCCACATGTAATGTAAGCACGTCGCGCTCCGATCCGGGTACGTAAACGTGGTACTGCCGGGTTTTTTTAAGCTGCTCGATTGGGCGATATGTTAGGTTGAGAGATTTTTTCAAAAATACTGTTTTTTGTCCAAAAATACTGTTTTTTGCTCTTATAAGAATACTTTTTTTTTGTTGAAGAAGGTTGGCATCTCTGAATTAAACACCCTATTTGCATCATAAGAATTATTATTGATGCTTTACAATTTTCTCATTTAATGTTAATGAAAGAGCAAACATTTTACTTGCCAGTTCTTACTAGTAAAACATTTTTCTGACATTTAACTGGCCAGTGGTATCAAGTTTTAGGGAAAATCTGATTTTTTAAAGGATATTCAGTCTGCTTTTTTGTGTTAAAGAGGATGGCATCTCTGTATATACCGGTATGTGGTTTTTACTTTTTCTCTACATTAGAGTTTTAATATCTTAAAGGCCCACTGCACTACTTATAGCTACTTGCGCCCTCTATAAAATAAACAATGCATAATCGGTGACCATTGGTCCCCCATGATCCTCTTTTCCTTACATTAATTGAGAGCTGAGTTGATGAGATAACCACCTGTCCAGTGACCTTGCAGGGTGGTCTAATCCCTCCTGTACACTAGTACAGATGGGCTTTAAAGAAAACAAAATTGACCTGTGTATATGACATCCTCTTTGTTATAGCCCCAGCCTGGCTCCATCTCTTCAGCGGAGCAGCAGAAGGAATTCAATCTCCAGATGAACAGAATATCTGTTATCTTCAAAAGGCAGTTGGCAATTCCACTGATGGGTGAGTGGTATTTTCGATCTCTTCATGTAAGGCTGATTGATGCACCTCATAAATTGTTTCTTAGCTTAGATTAATCAATTAATAATTTGATTATTTGTTCATTTTCCACATGCAAGTAAAAGAACAAACATGCAAAATACAAAATAATTATGTACATTCTGTAAAATATAAAGGAATACACATAGAAACAAACATACAAACAAAGAAGTGAAGGGGAATATGCAGTTTCGGAGTGTATGGCAATGTTTAAAAAGAATGGAAATAAATATGATTAATTTTTTTCTTACAAGGTGGTCTTTTCAAGCAAATCACCATGAGAGAAAGTAATTCATGTTGCCAAGAGTATGACATTATGTAGAAGTAATTGTCAAAATCTCTACTTCCATCATATGAAGGAAGATTGGATTTCCCTCACATGTTATATATGTCTGCGGACTCTCTTTATACCTCTGAAATTGGTTAATTAATTGTGAAAACGGAAATAAAAAAATAGACAACAGCCCTGATTATTTAACCCCACTGGATCATGCAGTCTTGCTATGAGGTGACATATTGATCATTGATATTGAAATTTTGATCACATCACAAAAACAAAACAAAACAAGCAGAACAACAGCTACAACGCAACAGCAGCACAAATAACACATCAACAACATCAACTTAACCCTACGTTAACTGGGGGGGGGGGGGGGGGTCAATTTGACCCCCCCCTGTAGAAATTTCGCAACTACTCCGAAACCACGGCAGATATAAAATTTTCCTTTCATGACTTTTTTCTTTTGAGTCTTATGCATCTTTTAAAACAATTTTTCCGAAAATCTGACGTATAGTTACAAAGTCACGTGACCGTTTGTCTTCGCATGTCAGCCCGAAAATCGCTAATTTTTGTGATTTGTGTACAAAACATATATAGAAATGTCATTTTTCCTAAAAAGAGATAAAACATTGGTTATTTAGTCTTCTTTAAAGTTTAGGTGTTTGTTTTGAAGTCAAAATAGTTGAATTGTAGTCATAAATGAAATAAAACAACAAAAACAATAAAATACATAAGTTAAAAAAACAATGAAATACATAAGAAATTATCAAAACAAGAGATAACATAAGGAATAACCTGGCTCTTCCAATTTTTTGTGTTGTATTAATATTCCAAATGGTCTAACAAATATATGTAGTGAAAAAGAATACTCAAATATGAATAATGTATGATTTATGGTAAAAAATGTGAATATTATGACCTTATTTGCATAAATTACCATAAATATGCAAATGAGCGAATTTTTCGAAAAATTGAAATTACCAGAGTATTCTATACACTTCACTTGACATGTATGCAAATTTTCGCCGCGATCGGCAGTGAAACGGCCGAGATCTTAGGGGGGGGGGGGGTCAAATTGACCCCCCCCCCCCAGTAAAACCTGGTCTGAAATAGCCCAGTTAAAATAGGGTTAAGAATGGAAAGCTTTAGCACAAGTTACTATTGTAGAATATTTTCTATAGAGTGGTGAAGTGTGACGTCATCAAAAATCCTATTTTTAGAATTTATCAATTTTTTCTACATTTTCCGAAAGAGCATCAAAAATAATGTCTAAATGTCGAAAAATAATTGAACATATTAAGTATTGGCTGAGATATGACCATCTGAATAAATATATGTCCTTTGGGAACTCAGTGCTCTGGTTCATAACATTAGGAACCAGAGCAATATAACACTGAGTTCCCATAGGACATATATTTATTCAGATGGTCATATCTCAGCTTTTAATTCTCAGACATGGAGCAAATATTCTGTATGACTAAATGGATGTCCGACATAGGCGAAGAGATTGAAATTAATGTGAATAAAGGAATTGTATCAATCATACAAAACAAACCAAATACGCAACAACAACATCATAAACGACCAATAAAAAAAAAAAACACATTAAAAATAACAAAACAACACCATTAACAACTACAACTCCAGCAGCAACAACAACACAACAATAACAATTACAACAAGGACAACAACTAATCAATAGGAACATCTTTATCTAATCACTTTTTAATGGAATTTGTCACTAATGCAAGTCTGGATTATGGACTCAGAAGTCAGAACCATACTGATGTTTATTTCTTCTGATATTGCTAAACAGATATGGAGCAAACATTCTGTGAGTATGATCAGTGGATGTCAGACATAGGGGATGAGATTCCAAACAACGTGAAGGAGTCGTACGCGAAAGCCCTAGACCTACTGGACACCTACAGACCACTGGAAGACAGTCTGGTAAGTATGGGCTGGTATTTTACAAAAGCGCACAAAATTTAGTCCAATTTTAAAGGGAGATGGTCGACGATTTCCATGTGCAGAAGGTCATAATACGCCAACACCAGACTTGGTGGAACTACCGTTAATGGGTGAACAGATCTAAGGGCGCGTTCATGCTTGATTTTGACGGCCAGAATCAGGCATCTGTTACGCGTTTAGTTTAAAACACGATTGCGTTCATGCTCACTTTTGTAGAATCACTGAAAAACGGCGATTCGTAAACTCACAAAAAGATGCGTTTACAATTTGTAAACGCGTTTAAATGGGGTCAACGCACTGACCTCTAGTGGGTCTACGTAGCATGTGCACACAGGTTTGCGAATCCAGCTGAAGGCCACCCAAGGAGAATTGCCTGGAGAAGTGAGCATGAACAGTGCACCGTGGAACTGCGATTACGATGAGCGTTTACGATGAGCGTTACAAATCGCTCATTCTGCCTTCAAAATCAAGCATGAACGCGCCCTAAGACACAGCAAATCTGTGGTCCCGTCAAGAAAATCCCACCTAGTCTCTCTTCAGGTGAAGGAAATGTAAGGTAATGACTTCACCATATGGGGGATGGGTGAAAAATGCGGAGCATTATGTAAGACATGTTGGTCATAAAACTGAAGGCTAATCTTGGTGATTGACAACACCAGTTCTTGGGTAAACACCCGAAAGGTTACAAATTCCCCATGAGAGCCCACTCTCATTTCTTTTCCCCTTCATTTTTCATTATGATCCAAGCAGTGACCCTGATAACAAACTTTAACGAATCCCTTACCTCAATAATAACGATGGTCTACACCCCTGCATTCTCTCACTCACCTTGCACGATCATCACTCAATCCCTCGTAGCTGACGGCCGAGGCCCCCAAACTGACCGAGTACCTAGCTTACATCGAGCATGAGCTCAAACAAGGCAATCCAGCGAGGATACAGTGCATCTACGAGAGGGCTTTAGTAGACAACTGCCTCAACATGTCTCTATGGAAGGAATACACTTCGTATCTGGTAAACTAACTTCTTCTGTTATTTTTTCTTTGGCTGTTGAGATGTAGAAGGGTGTTGATAATAATAGTAATTATAGCTGAAACTTGTTTAGCGCTCATGTCTGGCACAATGAAACTCCTGGCGCTCCATTATTATTACCATGGCTACCTTGGTCCCCATTTACCTCACCTGGGTGGAGTGTGGCGATCGTAGATTGATGTCTTGCCAAAGGACATTCGTGCTGCGACAGCGATTAAAACCTGTACCTTGTGGGTCACAGTCCTGTGTATGAACAAGCAATATTGTGCAAATTGTCTTATCAGGCACGAAAATATCTTGGATATTGTCAGTGATTAATATCTTGTGTATTCACAGAGATAAACCTTTTTGTTGCGAATAGACTATATATTACCCTGTCTAGATTTTTCTTACTTGTCTACTTAAGGATGAACACCTGAAGATCAGCACCATTGTGTTGCCTGTGTATGAACAAGCAATATTGTGCAGATTGTCTTATCAGGTCTGCATGTATCCTGGATATTGTCAGCGATTGACAACTCATGTATTCACACTTGAAGATAAGCTTTGATACCTCGTGCGAACAGACTATATATTACCCTGTCTAGATTTTCTTTACTTGCTTACTTAAGGATGAGCACCTGAAGATCAGCACCGTTGTGTTGCCTGTGTATGAACGAGCCGTGCGAAACTGCCCCTGGTGCTTCTCACTGTGGCAAGGTTATCTCATAGCTCAAGGGAGACACGAGGAACCCTTTACCAGTGTACAGGGTGAGTAGAAAAAAACCCTTTACCTCTGTACAAGGTGAGTAATTTAAAAAAACAGCTGGAAAAAAAAGGAAATCCTGAAATATAAGATTGGAGAACTTTATATCTGAATATATGTATTGCTTTGAAGTATTTTTAATGAAATAACATGTAATTAAGCCCCACTGCACTTCTTATAGCTACTTGCGCCCTCTTTATAGCAAACAATGCATAATCGGTGACCATTGGTCCTCCATGATCCTCTTTTTCTTATGTCAATTGAAAGCTGATTTGATGAAATAACCACCTGTTGGTGACCATGCAGGGAGGTCTAATCCCTCCTGGCCAAACAAGTGCAGAGGGGCTTTAAAGGGTGAGGGGGTATTTCATTTTGTACTATCTTCATACTTAATGAATATGCCATAGAATTATTGTTAAGTGTGTTTAATAGGCATGAGTTTCGTGTTTTGTCCATAATTTGAATTGCAAATTAAAACATGAATATTGAAAAGTATGAAAATTGTGCCCTTTAGTACTCCACTCACAAAGAAAAGGTCAGGTATGGAACCAAAGTCTAACTTGAGCTCCATCTGATTTTTTTCCTTTCCTTTACTAGCTATACAAAATGAATTTTGGTGTGATTGATCCTTTTCCAGACTCACAGTTGACCGTGTTTGATCATATTGTTTGTTCTATTCTATGCAGCTGTGTTTGAGAAGGCTTTAGTAGCAGGTTTCTCATCGGCACCTGACTACCTTCAGCTGTGGCAGACCTATGGGGACTACCTTAGGAGAAGGATACAGTGGGACAAAGGTAAGAATTAGAATAATGATAATAACAAATGAAAACTATGATAATAATTAAAAAGAAAAAAAATGATGATGATGATGGTGGTGATGATAATAAAAATGATAATGATTAAGAAGAAAAAATAATGATGATGATGATGATGACTACAACGGCAGCAATGACAATGATGATGATGACGATGATGATGATGACAACGAGGACGATAATGGAAATGATTTTTTTTCTCTTTGCCTCTAATGAGGTGTTTATTCAATATTCAAACAATAGCATAATTTTACTTACAATTTAGCGAAACAATAATACACAAATTATTTGTTCAAATATAACTAAGCAAATTCGCAGCTAATTTCATATTTTGTACTTTCAAATGTTCATTTATTTTTATTCTATTAGTCATTTCTCTCTAAAATTGAATAAATCAAATTCAAAATTTAATAGGCCCAATTATATATTTGAATGGTATCATTTGTTTTTGTTCGTTTGGTTGTTTGTTTGTATGTAAATTCTGTTCCGATGATCATTTTGTTTGATTATCTTTTATTTAGAGCATGTTGACGATGTGGAAATATTTAGGAAAACCATGGAGCGAGCGATCATCTACCAAGCACAGTGTAAGTATACATTCTATCGATTGTTTTACCTGGGTGCTAAAAAGGCAAGTATATGCTTGTAGGTACAGTTAACAACTGAATTATTCATACCCTTAGCAAGTTTTTGTAATTTTTAAAGTAAAAACTATATAGAAAGCTTCATTTGTCCCGATTTATGTTTCTTAAGTATGTGACACATTAAAAGCCTTTCGTACATAAATACCAAGTCTTCACCATGAGTCTTTATAATCTTACTCTTTATATGTCACACAATAATCTCCCTGTTCCACATTGTATTCATCATGGGATAGATTATACCAAAGATCATTGCACTGTTTCCAGTGCAAGATTAATCTATAACCATGTTAGAAGGGTTGTCGTGGAGTCCCGCCGCCGCACTAATGTCCTTTGGCAAGACATTGATCTACATTTGCCACACTCCACCCAGGTGAAGTAAATGGGTACCTGGTAGGAATTTATTCCTTGAAACGCAGCACGCGTAACAGCTCCACTGCTAAAGCCAGGGTAATTATGCTGCATTATTGTTGAGCGCTTAGAGACTTGTGATAAAGTAAGTGTTAGGCGCTATATATAAGCAAATATAATTATTATTATTATTATGCCATTCTGTTGCACAAAGCAATTCTTCCACCAATGATTGCCTTTTGAGAAATTGCATGTGTGGCAAACTAGCGACCATGCATAGAAGCGAAGAAAGCAATTAAACTGTTAAATTATTTGTTTTCACTTGTACAGATTTTGATGCTGAAGGAGATCCATCATCAAGTTTGCAGCAATACCTAGCTTTTGTCGAGGTAAACTAACCCTATTTTCCTGTTGATAGTATAAATTGTGATGGTATGATAGACAGAAATGCCTAGGTTTAGCTCATGAATATCAATTTTCTTGGTTCTTGGTTGATGAAGGTATGAATATACTTCATAGATTGATGTGTAAGAAGTATGTCCAATGATATATCTAGGGTACAACTATATATTATTTGGAGAAAATTGAGGTTTGTTTAATTTGTAGTGCAGATAAAGCACAGGAGATGTTCTCAAGGTAAATTGGATACTTGTCGATTTACACATGTTTGATTTAAGCATGGTAACTTGATTATTTGTTAAATCATTTATCTCTTCTTTCATATTTATGATTATTTATCTTCCTTAATGCCAGAGTGGACATCCTTCTCTAAAGGATAGGTTAAGGAATAATTATAACATTCAGCATCAGAAATTACTGTCTTCATGTCAAACATTTACTCTTTTTACATGTTCATCTCTCCTTTTTATCATGCCCTTTCTTACCATATTACTAAAAATAGTAAAAACATATCTGTTCACTTTGTAATTCTGTTTCATTGAACTATAAGTGGCTCCTTGCCCTGTTTGTTAAACTTAAACTCATTCTTAAGTTAATCATGTTGTAATTCTTACTAAATGTTTCCTTAGGTTGCCTTAGTTAATCACACTGTGATTTCAATCACATTACTTGAAATTTGTTCTGTATCTTAGGCTATTTTTTTCCTTGTTCCCTAAACTATTATTGTTATATTCATAATTTTGTATTTTATATGCTGTTAGTTAAATGCTTTAGGTTCAATATGTTAATGTTGTATATATATATTGTACCTTCTTTTGTATTTGTATTTGCATTTGCATGTACAGCACCATGATAAGAAGCCACCATTATTATCATTATTTCTTTCCCCCCTCCCCCCACTTCCTCATGGTTCTCGTTCCGTTGTCTTCCCCATTCTCTACGTAGGCCAAGTACTGCCAGAATGTAATGAGGATGCGAGAGCTGTGGAATGACATCATGTCTATGGGTCACGCCAGCCAGGCTCAGATGTGGCTACAGTACGTCAATCTAGAAAGGTAAGGCACACTTCAATGTGAAGTGCTGCTTGGTCTACAACCAGTTGGTCTACTACCCAATTGGTCTATTCCCATATGGTCTAGGTTAACCCAGCCCGTCTATTATCCACATGGTATAATGATCATTTGGTCTAATGTCCGTTTAGTCTAACCTCCAATAAGTCTACTACATTTGGTCTATTGTTCATTTAGTCTGATTACTACTTCGTCTAATTCCCAGTTTCCCGATTTTGTTACATTCATAGCCTACCGATCATTCCTTGTTTTGAGGAATGATTCCTATTTTAGCGGCCTTCAGACTAGGTTTCTGCCCGAGATTCCTCTAAATTCCATACTTAATGCACACAATTTTTGATTTTGCTTTGAGAGATTCTTATTATTTCAATGAAAGGTTGACAGGTATGAACACTTCAACAGAGCCAGTGAGTAAACTGGTCAGCCCCACTCTGTGTTATAAATCAGGGTTGTAGTGAATTGAGTCAGCTGACAAATTGTGTTGCAGGAACTTGGACATCTGTAACAAGTAACCACTTATATCTCTGCTTTGACCAAGCGTTTCCTCACAAGAAGCTTCTGGTCATGTTTTCATTGTTCTGTCCATTCCTAGACGCTTTGGTGATGCCAAACATGTGAGGAAAACGTTCCACCGTGCAATCCACTCGGTCAGTGACTGGCCCGAGACAGTCTTCGAGGCATTCCTGAACTTTGAAAGAGAGGAGGGGACACTGGACACCTGGTGCGCAGCGGTGAAGAGAGTTGAAACCCAGATGAAGAGGGTCACAGAACAGAGAAACCGGGTAGGTATCAACTGCTAGAACAGAGCTGCCAACTAGTAAACTAGTACGGATTTCCCATAATTGGTATGGAAATTAATGATCAGTACGGCAGTATGAAATGTTGTCTGAAATTACAGATTTTTGGCGTAAATATGATTTATCATAGCGAGTCCTGTGCAGTATGGCAGCCATTCAACACTCGCTGAGAAAGAAAGAAAACTATGTTCTAGAATTAATCATTAATCTTATATTTTCACTGCAATATTCATGTGATTACATATAATATTATGTTATTGTATGTCTTTTGGTATTATTGAGTTCAATTCAATCTTTCAATTAGAAGAAAATTGTTCTTTGATGTGAGCTGCTGTTTACGGTAAAGCCTTGTTCACATATGTAGCCTCAACCCAAGCATTTTATTCTTATGATGACAGTGTAATACATACCTGCCAACCCTCCCGAATAATCTGGAATATTCTGTTTTTCTGGATTTTTTTTTTTTTTTTTTTTTTATAATTTTTTTTTAATAATAATTTTTTTTGTTTTTTGTTTTTTGTTGCTTAAGCCATATTAAGCTTGTTTTATCATATGGCGCGATGTGAGAGTTCATGTATTGCGTGCGTTGAAGGGCTGCATGATTGAGCAGTGAATTTGTATTCGCTTTTTTTGCACAGATTTACCGCGTATTGCCAGTTACACTGCCGCTGCATGTGCGAACGCCTGTTAAGGGTACAGATTTCTTATTTTCGAAGACATACCGTGCTAAAAATTCTTAATTCTCATTTTCAAATGTTGGCAGGTATGACAGGTATGACATATTAAACACAGAGCACAGTGAATACACGTAGGACCTTTGTTGCGCGCATTCATTCATATCAAAATAAGTGTCCATATTTTGATTTATTAACATTCAGGCAGCAGAACAAGAATCATCATGGTCGAAACAGGAGGACGAGAGAGGATCAGAGAACAGGACCAAGCAGAGAAGTGAGAGAAAGGGAGGCAAGAGATCGTTCGATGAACCAGGAACTAGTAAACAAACCTTTAAGAAACAGGTAAAATGTAACTAGAAAGCATGGAATGTAAAAGCACTCATTATCACTATACATGCAAGATTTGGGTGTATGTAGGGGTGTTATGGTCTAGTGGATAGGTCACTGGGGCTTGAATCTCTGCCACAGCACTCATGTCTTTTGGCAAGACATTAATTTACATGTTCACACTTGACCCCTATGCAGTAAATGGATATTGGTAGGAATGAACTCCTTGAAAGTTATCCAAAGCTCTCTGGAATTGCATAGAGACATTGATGAATACATGATTTGAACTAGACAAGACTATTTTCATAGTAAAGTCAAAGGGGTAAAAATAGATTTTCCAGCTTTTCTTCACTTTGAATACACTCTTGATGATAACTACCCCCCCCCCCAAAAAAAAAAACCTCTCTCATATAAAGTTAGCTAGGAAAAGCCTGTACTTCCAAAAAGTACACCCTTCATGTTAGGACATAGGACTTGTCTGTCATTAAAAAAATCTAGAGCTACAGTTGAATAAGTCAGTTATGAATATCTCTCAGATAGAAGGCTTCTGAAATTCTAATTTATAGGGAAGTTTGTCAGTATGAAAAGTCTTGTTGCGTAATCTAAAAAAAGAATGAATCTTTGAGAATTACCAAAGGAGAAAAGTGTATTTAAAGGAGAGAACAGATTTTGTTTTTTTTTGAAGATATTTTCAGTGTTTTTTGAACAAGGAAATATTAGTGTTTGAATTTTTTTTGTAGTTGAGGCCTACCTCAAATACTTATTTTGGAAACAACCTTGCAAAGTGAGATCAATCTGAAATCATGGAAATATTTTTGTGCCAAAATTAAAACAGATGATATATCATTTTCTATTTTCTTTCAATACTTTTGTTGCCATCAAACAGAAGAAAAATTCCCTGCCAGATTCCAATCCTAGACTAGACGCTAGAGTTGACGGAGAGGCGGGACCATCTACATCGTCTTCTTCAACATCGTCATCGTCTTCGTCAGCATCATCATCATCATCAGCTCCTGTGTTCAAAATCCCACAACTGCCAGCACCAAGAGTAGGACCAAACGATGAGGATTTAAAACGTGAGTTCCACCAAACAATCAACTCTTTGTCATGTGATGGTGAACCAATAAGCTCCTCCAAGCTGGTTTTTACTTTGGTCAAAGATATTCGGTGCTTGTTTAAATTTGCTGCGGTAAACTGGCTTGGTTTTCTGCCATGGCTAAATGAAATGAGATAATAAGCATAATGTGCTTCACGTTTCTGGCTGAGATTGCACCAGAGTGCATTTAAGGAGCAGCTGGAGGGCACAGGACCCTACTGGGCAGAGCTGAGGATTGAAATGGGTGATACAAATGTTGTTGCAATATTGTTTTAGAGTTTCTGATGGTATAACTCTATTATCAAATAAACATTTACTTAACTTGTATTAAAGAGAACTGTTGCTGAGCCAGTGCCATGAGCCTCCCTGGACGGTGTGTGCACTCTATAAGCTTACACCATGATAATTATTTATTAAGAACCCAAGAGCCATTATAAGATCCCTGGAGCCCGGGCAAACGGGACGTTGTGCTTTGCATATGTCTGTTCATTCTCCTTCCACAATCTAATTTTAACCCTATTTACCCCGGGGGGGGGGGGGGGGGGGGGGGGGCTTTAGAAGCCCCTCCTCGACATTTTTCGCGATAATTTTTGTAACGCAAGAAAATCTTGCACTGAAATTTTGTGACTTTTTTCTTTCGAGACTTGCCCATCTTTTGAAAGAAATTTTTTGAAAATCGGACCTACCATTACAAAGTCACGTGTCCTTTTGTCTGTGCATGTCAGCCCGAAAATCGCTCATTTTTGTGATTTGTGTACAAAACATATGGAAATCTCATTTTTCAAATAAAGAGATAAAACATTGGTTATTTGGTCTTGTCTATAGTTTAGTTGTTTATTTTGGGGTCAAAATAGTTGAATTACAGTTGGAAATGAAATAAAACAACAAAAACAATAAAATACATAAGTTAAAAAAACAAAGAAATACATCAGAAATTATCAAAACAATAGATAACATAAGGAATAACCCTGGTTTTTCAATTTTTTGTGTTGTATTACTATTCCAAATGGTCCAACAAATATACTGTATGTAGTGAGAAAGAATGCTTAAATATGAATATTGTCTGATTTATGGGCAAAAATGTGAATTTGATGACCTTATTTGCATAAATATGCAAATGAGTGAGTTTTTCAAAAAATTGAAATTACCATAGTATTCTATACACTTCACTTGACATGTATGCAAATTTTCGCGGCGATCGGTCGTTTCACGGCCGAGATCATGGGGGGGGGGGCCCTTAGAAGCCCCCCCTGGGCTATGCAGTTTCAAAATAGCCCGGTCTAAATAGGGTTAACATGTATGAATTTTTGTCAGTGGATCACCCAATTTTACATTTAGATATTAAGTTTTGTAAGTGGATCAACTGACTTTAAATGTCATCATACAGGTACATAATACCAATGACTTGGTTAGAACATCGTATGTGAACGAACCTATATCCGTCCCTCTTATGACATGGAGGACATCCCAGCAAAGAAGAGTCTCAAAGACCAATCTGTGGAATTCCAGATTCCAAGTTTACATGTATGAATTTTTGTTTGTGGATCACCTGACTTTGTACGTTATTGTACAGGTAAATATTACTAAATACACGGTTTACGACATCATAAGTGAACAAACTTTTGTTGATCCCTCTTATATGCAGCGGTTTCAGACAGAGTGAAGGACATCGACATGGAGGACATCCCAGCAAAGGAGAGTCTCAATGACCAATCCGTGGAATTCCAGATGGCCATGAACCCTAAGAAGAAGAAGCCCGAGCGTGACAACAACGACCCAAGGACGGTGTTTGTCAAGAATCTAGGCTATAACGTCACAGAGAAGAGGATCAGGAAAGTCTTTTCAGAGGTAAGAAGTCGCATCAATTACCATCCCATCTATCGTACCATCCTGCTCGACCACGACTATTATCTTATACTCTACTACCATCATTCTCCCTCTACTACCTTTGCTCCTGCGCTCTGCCCACGACTATCATCTTACCTCTACTACCATAATTCTCCCTTTACTATTATTGCTCCGGCTGTAGACCACGACTATCATCTTACCTCTACTACCATACATGTAATTCTCCCTTTACTATCATTGCTCCTGCTCTACAACCACGACAATCATCTTTCCATTACTGCCCTCTAATACTTTCGCCCACCCAAACAATCACAATGGCACCATGGGACTACAGTTAAATTGCAAATACAAGCATGATTTTTTATCACTATATATTTACAGATAAGTTATTATAATTTGTTATCATAATATTGTGGCAAAATATTGGGTTGTACCCCAGAAGATTTCTTGTAAAGTTTTGTTGGACTCTTATGTGAAATTAATGATTTTATTGTTATAACGATAATTCAATGACAGATAGCATTGTGAATCATCAACATTTTGTTGTTTTGTTTTTGGTCTACAGTGTGGCACTGTCAGGGATGTTCGAATGGTAACTAACTACCAGAAGAAGTTCAAAGGTTATTGCTATGTTGAGTTTGAAGATGAGGTAAGTCTCGACTTCAAATAATGTTTCCGTAAATTGAAATCTCAATTTAACCTTTCACCCATAAATGCTGGATATAGGTTTTGGGGTTGATTATTATTTTCTGCATACTAGCTCTGCACATATGTTTTTAGCCGGTTGCTTAATCTGATATTTCATATTTTGAACTGAGAGAATAGACCTGGGGGTGTTTCACAAAGATCCTAAGTCGAACTTAACTTTAAGTTGGACTTAACAATTATGGAGAGCCATTTGTAGCCTTAAAATAAAGGTTATTCAAAAGTGAAAATTCAAGTATTTTAGACTTTTTATAAATTCCACATCAAGAACATGAAATCTCCTTGAAAATAGAAAGTATGAATGATTCGAATCAACATTTAATGCCTTTTAAAAATAACTTTTACAAAATATTTTCATAGATACTGACGGCTTTCCATAATTGTCCAACTTAGAGATAAGTTCAACTTAGGATCTTTGTGAAACACCCCTTAGTTTGTATTTTGCACATACCGGTAGTAAAAAAGACCCCACATATCCATAGATTTTTCACATCACAGATCTTGAGAATACTTCCACCTGTGATCTATAGAATGTACCGTTAGTGCATAAATGATTACATAACTATCATGAGCATGTATCCGGTACGCGTCTCGGTGGAGTTTACAATTTTGGTACAAATGACCTTTATCTGCTCATGCGTAGATTGTATCTACAAACTGGCTTATTTCTTAGAATGTACCTTATAGAGGTAGGATGTTGCTGTTTTAGTGCTGATATAGTGCAATGCACATGTGTGCTTCAAGTCTTAACGCCTCCGCTCACTAAAGGTGGTGCTCGAGGCATTATGTTTTTCGGGTTGTCTGTCCAACTTTACGTCTATCCCACTTTCTTGTTTTCGCGATATCTCAAGAACCACTTGAGGTATGAACTTCAAACTTGGTGATAGTATGTATCATAATGGGAAATGGGTTGTTGTTTCCGATGGTTTTTTTGACAGCGAAAAATACAAATGATAGAAAATACAATATAACATTTAACAATAGAAAACGATATACATAAATATGCATTTATAATGTGCATTTGCCCCTCAATTTCATATTGCCTACAATTAACATATTCAATTAAAATGTCTCATAATATAATATTTCCAGTCAGCTCCCCCCCCCCCCCCCCCCCCCATCCGCTAGCTCCCGATCCACAGTCTCCAGTCATCCGTTTATTTGCACTTTGATGGCAGCTATTGCAGTGCAACCAAACGGATAGCTATTTATTTATTTTTTATTTATTTATTCTCCACTCATGGGATGGATTGCCCTTGTCAGCTATAAGCTGTTTTTCAAAGGGGTCCAGGCCAAGATAAAAACATACAATCAAAATAATCAATACATGTATATACTCATAAGTATTTACATAGTATAAAATTAAAATATACAACAACAACAATAACATCACTATGGGGGAAAGCAACTACAAAAGGGGGAACGTGTCCTTAAATGGTAAAAACGGATAAGGGAGTAACAAAACAAAAAATTACGAATAAGAAGAAAAGAAAGAAAACCGGGGTTCTTGTATTTTTAGCTTAATTTGTTAAATATAGGAGGTAAGTCTGTCTGCTATATAAGAATGGTCAGGATGATGGGGTTATGTGACGCTTAAAGGCTTCAATTGATACAGTGGTGGAAATAGGGTAATTCAGCTCATTCCAAATCTTGGCCCCCCGATAAGAGAGAGATCTTTTCCCGTAATTGGTCTTCGGTTGAGTGAGTCTTAATTTATGCGGATTGGACCTTGTACAATATACTGATTCACGAATTACAAAGATACTGCTAAGATAAGGTGGACAAATGTTATGAACAGAGCGATACATAGTACATGCTAATTGTTTGGACCATCGTATATATATATATATATATACATATATAATTTCAAGGTATCATATAAATTATTTGAAGGATACATATAATCAACATTCATAACAATACAAAGTGATCTATTTTGTAATACTTGCAATTGACTTAGGTGAGTCTTTAAAGCATTTGCCCAGACTGCGCTACAATAATCAAAATGGCATTGAATAATTGATTTATAAAAGGTCAAAGCAGTGATCTGATTAATGTATGGACGCAATCTTTTTAAGAGATATATACATTTAATTACTATCAAAAACAACAATAACAATTTCAAATCCAGTAGGAAATATATGATAATGAAGATAGGTAGATAGCCTTATGTATATAGTTCTCGCGTAACAGTTGAATTATACACATGTATGGAATTAGGGATGAATGAATTACGATAACGTGAAAGGCGAGTACGGGGAGGGCACAGTCTTATTCCAGAACGGTCGAACCTGAAACAATCATTGAGAAGATGAGTATTGTCTGTCATTATAACTTTAACTTTTGCAAGTAGGCGTTCTTCATAAAGTGCTGGAACAGGGGGCAGATCTGATCCTATAACCCTCTGTGCGACTCTTCGAGTTCGATCTACTCTTCCCTTTTGCTTGTTTGACATGTTACCAAAAGTGCAAATCAGATTGAATGTCATTACGCTTTGGATGATCGATTGGTAGAAGAGCTTCAGGATGGTTCTATTGATATGAAAGCTCTACAGAGAAAATCATACAGAGAAAAGGGACCGTATACGGCTGATAGCCCATTTTCAGCTGCAACTATATTGTTGCTGCTGGTCTTCCATGGGGCCAGTTTATACAATGTGCAAAATATTCATGTTATTAGAAATTAACAGAATAAATAATTACAAAGTATCAGTCGAAAACATAATATGAATAATTAAAGAAAAAGAAGAAGAAAAAAAAAACAAAAAAAAAAAACAACAACAACATATAAACATACATAAATAGGTACAACAACAGGGTGATTACAGTCTGTTTAAGTTAGTCTTAAAGGTGGCAAAAGTGGGTAGTTGACGCAAATCAGGGGATAATTTATTATATTAAAAGGAAGCTCTGTACACGAAAGTTCTTTTACAATAATTAGTTCTTGGCTTAGGTAAAGAGAGGTTACGTTCATTACGGAGGGAGTATGGAGAGGGTTTAAACTCAAACGTTCAAATATTCAGGGGTCATGTTATGTAATGTTTTGGAAGTTAGGAGTAATAAATGGATTTTTTGCCTTTCACGTATCATTTGCCAACCAAGACAGCTATGAATTTGACTGGTAGAAGTATGCGAATAATGGTTAACTCTTAGTATGATTCTACTGGCCCTATTTTGAATTTTTTTGAGTTGTATTAAGCCTTTACTGCTGGCAGATTGCCATACTACATCCCCGTAATCAAAGTGAGGTAATATGATGGAATTATAGATTAATTCAATTCAGACATATTCACAAATTGTCTTAGTCTACATAAATAACTAACCATTTTACTTAGTTTGTTACACGTCTGCTTAGTGTGAACATCCCATTTTAATTTTTCATCCACATGTACACCGAGATATTTAAAGCTCTTTACTTGGGACAACTATTGTTCTTTGATTTTGATACTCAAAGGCTCAAAGGCCATAGAGGTCAACTTTTGAAATTACAGGTTTTAGCCTCGTTATCACAATATCTCAAGAACGACGGGTGGTTCTTGTATTAAGGCTGTGAGAATGATACATCTAAGTAAAGTCAATGGATTAAGTGGTAATTTGAATTTAAATCTTTACAGGAGTAATTTGAATTTAAATCTTTACAGGAGTCTGCCAAGAACGCGCTGAAGAAGGACAGAGAAACCATCAATGACAGACCCATGTATGTGGACCCTTCAAAAGACAGATCAGGGGCACCCGCAGAAAAGAAGTTCTTGGTAAGGAGATGTTATTCTTTATAGTACAGCAGTTTTTGTTGATGTTCTTGTTAGGATTTCTTCATTTCCCAAATTGTAATTCAAAAGAAGATGAATTGTGTGTTTACGTGAATTTTCCAACTTTAAGCCATGATCGCAAAGTCTGCCCGTAGACCCCTCTGCGTCTGCTCCACTACGCATTTCACAGAAAATCCTTGTCTCTGACGCAAGAGTCTGCACAGTTTTTTGAGACGCATAAAACTCAGATCTCAGATTTGTCCTGCTTTTCCATCAAAAATGTTGTAAATGTACTTGAATTTTGTGATACAGCCTGCTATACATGTACATCTAAGTTGACATATTATTTTCATGATAGCAAATCATTAAAATTGTCTTACAGCATTTCCTCTCCATGGTATTCTTGACCACTACTTTCTCTTAGTTTATTTGGTATTGTATTGATTGAAATGTATTTTTTTCCCTCCATCTTTATTGCCATCTTGTACTTGTTAATACCTGTCTGTTTGGCTCACTTTTGTATATTTACTGTATCTATAAGTGTATTGGATTACTTGTAAACACGATAAGTTTTGGTCCTTGGACCTTTGAATAAATGAATAAAAAATGGAGAAATATGCAAGGCAAGCAAGCTGTTCCCTAACACAGTCAAACATGCTGTAATGATCACTTGTATAGAAAGACCACCTGTCTTCAGAAGCAATAGTTTTTCTGCTTTTTCTCATTTTAATTGTGTACTACACAAACCGGAATATAAAGACCATGCCTATGAAAGCCACTTTTATCACCCCCTTGAGTGGTCTTTACACACAGGTTTCACAGTTTTTGATCGTATTTTGAAAGGCATCTCATTTGTGTTTCCATGGATACAGTATGAAAACAAGATGGAGAAGAATAAACTCTTTGTGAGTGGCTTACCTAGGACACTTACGACGGAAGAGCTGGAGAAAACCTTCAGTAAGGTGAGTTCATATTCATTGACTTTTCTGTATATATTTGAAAGGGCAAGGATCATTATTACAGGTTGAAAAGGATGAAACAGAAAAAATCAGAGGAACAAGGATTTTAAGAATATCTGACAAGACAATAAGAAAGTTCATGAATTTTTATAAATGTTTGAAAAGTATACAAATGGAAGTCTAAAATTCACAGAAACAGAGATTTTTACAGACAATAAGAAAAATTAGGAGGTTTTTTAAGGTTTTGATCAGTATAAAAATGGAAGTCTAAAGTTAAAAAAAACAGATTTTTAACAATATCTGACAGGCAATAAAAAAGTTCATGAATTTTTACAAAGTTGTGATCAGTATACAAATGGAAATCTCATATTTGCAAATTAATCATTTGACTAGGAGTAATTTTGGGACAACATTCCCATTTGTTGTACTCTACAGTACCATTGACTTTGAACGCTCCCCTCAGTGCTTTTTCCATCAGGGAAGTAGTACCAATATAGTATGTACAAGAATGGAGAAAAAAAAGTATTTGTTGTTGTTTATGTTCTTTTTATTCTTCATTTTCTTCTTTGTCTTCTTCTTTTGTTGTTGTTGTTGTTCTTCTTCATCCTCTTTTTCCACTGCTTCTACTTCTTTTTCTTATTCTTCTCTTTCTTCTCCATCTCCTATTCTTCTTCCTCCTCCTCCATCTTCTTCTTCTTCGTCTTCTTCTTCCTCTCCATGTTCTTGTTCTTGTTCTTCTGGTTGTCCTTTTTTCCCCCCATTTTCTCCTTCATCATCTTTTTCTTCTTCTTGTGCCTCCTGATCATTTATTATGAAAACCTGTTTGATCATACATGTATAATATTCTGTTTCTCGCGTCATTGTTGTTGATGGTTTTAAATTTTAAGTACTTTAAAAATAAAGTGCCAAAAAACTTCATAAGCACTGCCTATGTTGTGTCTCGGCAACCGAGGATGGTGCCAGAGGCTTTTTTAAAAGTGCCATCAGCCCCTAAGACGATAGGCACCACAAGGGCAGTAACCAGGGATTAATCAACTCTTTATATGCCACACAAATAATCTCCCGGTGCCACATTGAATTTAGCATGGGAGAGATTAGGCTTTCTGATTATTTAACTGTTTCCAGCTCAAGCTTAAAACTATACAGGTGTTAAAAGGTTTGCCATGGAGCTAATCAAGACCAGTGGGGGCATTTCACAAAACTTGTCCTCAGTGATAAATGACAGTTTTTGATGTAAGCTACTGAAATCCTTGCTTCTGATTGGTTATCAGCAGAGTTGTCACTGATTTTTGTCATTCGTCATTGAAAAAAGGCTTTGTGAAACTCCCTCCAGAAAATGAATAATTATGCAAAGCAATGCAGTATAGCAACATGGAACCCCTAAAATGCAGAGCGAAATATTATTTTGAAATTGATACAGGTTAAAATCTGAGGGCGCATCAATTATATACAACCTTGGCTGCTTGTGGTGACTTCTAGTAAAAATGGTTGCATGCATTTCCATGGTAACAACTCTGTGATGGGAGCGATTGTAGTATTTTATGCACACCGGTGTGTTGTTTCCATGGATACATTCATAACTCTACCTATGATGCACAATTACTGTCTGTAAACAAAAATGAGCTCTAGTGTTGAGCTAAGGGTGATCCCACCTTTTGGGTTTGTAGAAACTGATTTAAAGGTAAAGACCGGTAGTGGTAAAATAGTGGTACAAGGGTTTTGGGTGCAAAATATCCATTGAATATTGTTTAAATATTGCCTTCGAGGTTTAGATGGCAATACTTCAACCTAAATTCGCAAAAAAGCAGAACTATTTGCCCAAATGTTCAATGTTGAAGTGCATTCGCGATATCTATCCAGGCCGGATCGATATGATGATTTACCAAATATATCAATTAGTAGGCGTTTTCCTGGTAAAATTTGTATCATCACATACGAGTCAAAACATATTCTTTCACATGATTGGTAATAAGAGCTTCCATTTCACTTTTTGAGAGGGGGGCGTTTCCAAAACTGGCTACTTGCTCCCTCTATATAGCAAACAATGCCTAATCGGTGACCATTTGTCCTCCACGATCCTCTTTTTCTTATGTTAACTGAGAGCTGAGTTGATGAGATAACCACCTGTCCAGTGACCTTGCAGGGTGGTCTAATCCCTCCTATAAACTAGTACAGATAAGCTTTAAAGTAAAAACCGTGCAAGCAGAAGGTTAGAAAAAAGCAAATGCTAGCTTTTTCTAGTTGTATAGAAACTATAGATAATAGCCATTGACTGGTCCAATGGGGATACAAGATATATTGCTTACACAAGATTAAAAATTGCATAAATATAAGACATTTTACAAGTTAAATCATGTTTTCTGATCTTTCTATAGTTTGGTAAGCTGAAGGGTGTGCGTATTGTGACGTTCAAGAGTGGAGTCCCCAAAGGTCTAGCTTATGTGGACTTTGAAAATGAGGTAAGTTTTGTGGTGTGAAGAAATATTAAATGGTCTACCGGTAATCAAATGAGAATTTATTTTCCATAACTAATTGACTTTACCAAAAATTGAAAACAATCAGTTAACAGAGAAAGCACAGTTTATGATAAGAAATATGTATTTTGTTTAATCTGTAGAGAAGCATTTTGAGACCAAAGTCTGGCTCATGTAGTCTAGCCTTGTAAAGGTTATAGGTGGCGAGGTGGGGAGGGGGGGGGGGGGGGGGGGGGTCAGCTTCAGATATCAGGTTTTATCCTTGAACATATAGCTTTTGTACACTTTCCTATGGGATATATGGGATATTAACATCATGAGGCTGTATTCTTCAAAATAATGTTACGTCATATATTAGGGCAAACTATGTTAATTGTCGTTTCAAACTTTATTTGTGTGGAACTAACACTTACCAGTGGTGCTTGCACTTGCACTGATGTCTCGTTTGACTTTATGCGACCGAAGCCAACTCTGTGCTGAAATTAGCCGATGATGTGTCCTAATTTTGGTTCAAAATAAATTCAAATAAATAAATGTAATGCTTCCTGGGAGAAATCACAGATGAATTAGAAACAAATACTCAAGCTCTCCTGATTTCTCCCAGGAAGCATTACATTCTTAAAAGCTATTGTCCTAATGGCAGACTAATGAATATTAATAAGTCAGATTGAATCAGGAGAGCTAGGGTATTTGTTTCTACTTCATTGTGACTGCCATGAACCAGTGATGGCTTGGTGGTAGAGTCGCTGCCCGGCAAGCAGTAGACGGCAGGTTCGAATCCCGCTAGTTCCAGGATTTTTTTGGGACTTGTTTTCAATGACAGATAGATTAATCAATCTTATTTACTGGGTGTAAGCCACAAATATGTTTAAACAATTAATTTTGATTTGTTAAACAATTGACTTTGTTTTCAGAATACAACTCCTGATTTCAACTACCATGTATTCTGACTTTATTTCTATTAACCTCTTTTTAAATTTTTAAATTTAATTTTTTTACCCCTTTCTATTATTAGGCCAGTGCGACAAGGGCTGTGATGGGTCTAGACAACACCCAGATAGGTGAACACACCATCACCGTGGCGATCAGTAACCCTCCCACAAGGAAAGCACCCCTCAAGGATGCCGCTCCTGCTGCTGCTTCAAATCCCCCGGAGAGGGGACAGAAATCTCTGGGTGCCAAGTAAGTTCCCCCTTCATACCCTTACAATGTTTTTTTGGTGGGTTGGGCGGGATGGGGGTGGTGGCAAGGAGGGGTCCCTTTTGGGGGGGGATTACCCACTGCAAAATTTAAGCACACACACCTTTATCATCCCCAACCCTTGTGAAGCTCCCTTGAAGTATTCTGCTTTTACTGCTTTAAATTCCGAGAGGAAACCAAAATTATTGAGTGCCAAGTGACTTCTCCCCTCATACCTTTTACAAGCTTGTTTAAGCCCCACTGCACTACTTATAACTACTTGTGCCTCTATATAGCAAACAATGCCTAGTTGGTGCCTGTTGGTCCCCCATGATCCCCTTTTTCTTATGTTAATTGAGAGCTGATTTGATGACATAACCACCTTGCAGGGAGGTCTTATTCCTCCTGGCCAAACTAGTGCAGACAGGCTTTAAAGGGGGTGGGGTTTCTCCCCTTTTTTGATGACCCAATGCGAAATGAAAGCATAAAATCCTGCACCACTGCAACTTCCCACCATCCCCCGGAGAGATCCCTGAAAAATGCCGCTTCTACTGCTTTCCATCCTCCTGAAAGAGAACAACATCTTTGGGAGCTCAAGAAATTTTTCCCATTTTAGCATAAGCAGAGCCACCAACCATATACCAGATTTAACATAGTTTAACAAAAAACTTGTCTCAGATGGTTTTAACTGCCTAAATTTTGGGACAAAGCACACTTGTTAGATGAACCATGGGAAAGAGCTCTATGATTATAAAGAATGTGACTTGTGAAGTTTTATCCTCATTACTAAGAGATTTTGTCTAGAGTATTAGGAGAAAAGCCTCTTCTTTGGCAGGAACCTAAATTTTATTGTATTTGTACCGGTATTTTAAAAGGGCTTTTTGATTTTGTCATTGAATTTTGAGTTTTCTAAACACCTTACTAGTATGGGAGGTATGTGAAAAACAATTTTATGGATCTGCTAGAGTATGTCAGTCACTCACCTAAGCAGACTAGACTAAACTTCTCATTTTGTAAATTTCAACTAGGTCAAAGTTTCCAGTTCTTCTGTAGGGATTATGCTTATGAAACTCATGCCATTAGTTGCTAGGTAACAAGCTACAAACAAATACCAGGCAACTGAACCTTTGACGCCGCTAAGAAAGAAGGTCGGGTGGTTTTATGATGCGTGTGTGGCTTGATCTACTCAGGGATGAAGCATGAATAATACAGTATCCTGTTGAAGACTTCTTTGTAATGGTTAGATGGTGCAACATATAATCTCCCTGCCTCTTTGTGCTTATGATTCGTCAATTTTGCTATTGAGCTTGTCTTGGACAATCATTCCTTTAACTGATATGAAGCTTTTTGAATGAATAGATAAGAGGGAAAAATCATATCTGTATAGCAGACTTGTTGATAATTAATGTTATAATTTGTATTAACATTTATTATTAAAGGTAAAGACCAGTTATGGTCATGCGATTGAATTGTGAAAGAAACGTTGTGGAATCGATCAGAAAAGGTCGATCATCTAGCATATAAGTATTGGTGTGTACTGCAAGGTTCTGGAATCATCAAAATGATAAGAAATTTGGCCCAGTCTTCGTAAAGTTACAAGCACTGTACACAGAAAGATGTATATGGGACTATACGCACACGTGCGCGACACGTGTGCTTATCTCTCACAGACCATGTAGATAAACTAATTTACCAAATATATCAATTAGTAGGCGGTTTCCCAGCAAAATTTTTATCATCATGTATTAGTCGAAACATATTCTTTCACATGATTGGTAATAAGAGCTTCCATTTCATTTTTTGAAATTAGGGCGTTTCCAAAACTGGTCTTTACCTTTAATATAATATTATTGGTTTTTGTCTCGCCTGCGTAGCGAAAAGCGAGACACACATGTAGGAGCCGCTTAAAACTTAACCTGAGGTTAAGTTTTTGAAATTTTAGTATAATTTTGAAAGTATAGGTTTTTATTCAATAAAACTTAGACCAAAGGGTTATCAAGTAACCCCAATCATGTGAGTAGAATTTTAGGTCACAAAACTTAACAAAAGGTTACGATTTTGAAGTTTTATCATAATTTTGAAGGTCATTTAAGGTCAACAGACTTAGACTAACATGTTGTGGCATCAACATCAAAACTTAACAAAAGGTTACGATTTTGAAGTTTTATCATAATTTTGAAAGTATACATTCCTATTCCATGAAACTTGAACATAGGGGTTATTAAGTATCATCAATCATGTGATTAGTCTTTTAGGTGACAAAATCAAGGGAAAATGTGATATAAGGTCTGCAAACTTAGACTTTGTTGTGGTATCAACATCAAGATTTTGAATTTTTAGCATAATTTCAAAAGCGTTTGTTCAAATTCCATGAAACTTGTACACAAGAGTTATCAAGTATCACAAAACATATGACACAAAATACAGGTCACAAAGTCCAGGTCAAAGGTGATTTTACGTCAGTAGACGTTTCCCTTGTTTAATGCTATAATTTTTATTATCATTATTATTATTATTATTATTAAAACAATTATTATCGATATTCTGATTATTTTCATTATCAATATTATTATCTTTTGTTGAAGTTATAATCTAGAATCAAAGACTTCCATTGAGTGTTCATTAACACTTTCATTATTGTTACAGGGGCATCGTTGGACCCAGGGGTAAAGGCCGCACCCAAATCTCACTGTTACCCCGATCGCTTCAACACCAAAAACCAGCATCAGGCAAGCCCAAGCCAGCATCATCCTCCGTCGCCATGGAAACCAATGATGCTGCCAGCAATGGCAAGTCTGAGGGAGAAGGCCTGAAGGAAACTAAGATGTCAAACTCTGATTTTTCTAAAATGTTTCAGAAATAATGCAGCAAGAGCTGTGCAGATTCCTGGATATTCCCGGGACTTCTTTGGTCTGTATTCGTAAGATGGGACTAACTTTAGGCCAGGTTTGATCCCAGACTAAGTGAGCCCATGTATGTACGAAGCGCCAGGTTTAATACTCCTAAGTCCTTATTTCGTGAAATGACCACAATTCTGTGTCTGCATGCAAGGATAACAAAAGTCACGCTGTCATGAAATCCACCTTTCATTTCTTTGTTATAATTTAATTAATTTTGTCTGTTAGGAGCCAGATGGGCCTGAAGTTGAACTCAAAGCCAAACAGACGATTCCATGTATTAATTTTGTTACAGAATTACTACCCTGGCTTGAATTACTATAACAAAACAATGTTATTGAGGCACGTCAAATGTTGTCACCAACAATGATGCATTTTTTTTTGCATTCCAGACCAATCTTTTTTGGTTCCACTACATTTCGCTAAGGGATCTGAACACTGTGCCACTTTAATACACAAGGCATGTACTCATATGAACATGGTAATGCATTCTGGTTATGTACAACGACAGCTTACTTAAGTAAAATGAATTAGATTGCATGACACAAATCTCACTGGAGCGCTTAAAACTATGGATTGAATTCTTGTAACTTTGAGAGATTAACAAATAAACATTAAAGAATACTTTTTTTGAAAACTTAACCCTTTTCTGTTGGCTGAAATAGTGGATCACTTAAAGAAAATGAGGCAACATGCTGTATATTTTTAAAAGAATTTGAATTTGGAAAGTGTCATTTTTTCATTTTTTTATGTAAGTGGAAGTATACTTTTCAATACACACTTTGACGGAATGTGTTTGGGGCAACGAGGAGCACACCCTGTACCTTTTAACTTGCAGCTGAAATTCTTTTTTTGTTCCGTCTTGGATTTTTAGATTTGATTATCCAGCTCTTGCTTGTAAATTTTTGTTACAATGTTGTTAACATCTGTGGTACTAAAGATTTAAGGGGAAAATGATCTATTCTAGAATCAGAATATATGCAGTTGTGCAAGCAAAGTCATCTTCATAAAATCATGATAATGAGAATTTTTTCCCCCAAGGCACCAAGTGTACATTATTCATGTGTCTGTGGAAGAAGTTTTTTAATCTTGTCAAGTCTCACCAAAAAATATAATTTGCATTTGAAGTGTAAAACACCATATGCCTCCATCGTCAAAGACAATGCTGAGGTTTTGTTTATTTTTATGTATTCTATAAGTTTTCCTGTCGGGATACTTGAACAGAAGTCAAGCAACTTCAAGACAAAATTTACATATAGTAAATTGCCGGCGAATCTTCCCGCCTCGCTCAGTACAACAAAAAGTCAACCATCAGCAGTCGCGAGATTTTATGTATGAGCATGTGAAAATGAACTGATTTAAGTTGTCAAAAGGTGAAAGTTCATTATGAATATGTCTCTTATTGGAACTTGAAAAATACAATGTACTTGAAAGAATTTACTCACTTTGTTGACCTGTTAAATTAGATGTCATAGGTCATTCAAGATGAAAATCGACTCATTGTCTTATGTTGAATGAGAAACAATCTTTGATCAGAGGTCAAATCAGGTCAAATTTCATTTCACAATTTATTCTGAAGTGAAACGTGAAGAGATGGGAATGACAGAAAGACAAAGTCAGTAAAGATGAATGATTGTACTCTCAGTGGGAAGTAAATATTGATGAGATAGGCAATGGATGTCAAAGGTCATGTAAGATATTAAAGGTTTCTTTCTTAAAGGTACCTGTGGTACACAATGAGAAACAAAAAGTGATCAGATCTCAATGTGTAAGGTCAAAGGTCATACACTATTATTGTGATATGGTGGCAGTTTGAAAGGATGAGAAACAAACTGATCAGATCTTAATGTGTAAGGTCAAAGGTCATATACCATTATTTTGATATACTAGGAGAATGGAAGGATGAGAAGCAAACATTGATCAGATCTTAATGTGTAAGGTCAAAGGTCATACACTGTCATTGTGATATGATAAGAGAATGAAAGGTTGAGAAGCAAAAAAGTGATAAGATCAGAACGTGTTACATTGTGTAAGTCAAAGGTTGTACACTATTATTGTGATATACTGACAGATTGAAAGGATGAGGAGCACAAAAGTGATCAGATCTTCATGTGTAAGGTCAAAGGTCATACACTATTATTTTGATATACTGACAGATTGAAAGGATGAGGAGCATAAAAGTGATCAGATCTTCATGTGTAAGGTCAAAGGTCATACACTATTATTGTGATATACTGACAGATTGAAAGGATGAGGAGCACAAAAGTGATCAGATCTTCATGTGTAAGGTCAAAGGTCATACACTATTATTTTGATATACTGAGAGGATGAAAGGTTAAGAAGCAAACATTGATCAGAGTTGAGTGATTAAGGTCAATAGTCATTAGAGATGAAGTTTTTCTCATTGTGACCCATTTTCTGTTAAATTTGATTTAACAACAAATAATCCTGTACGTATAGATTGTCCATTATAGTTTATTCCACTCATGACAGGCATTTGTATATACATGTACATGTATGTTGACTGGATTTATACAATTGGCAAGAATTTGTCAAGGAAAAAAAAGAAGATTCTGTACTTTTTCAACAACACCAACAAAAAATAGAAATACTTTGTTTTTAAAATACAAGAAATTGTGATATACCTTTGACCAAAGCATGGTTATTTTAATAGTTCAAATTTTATCGAATCCTGTAACAGGTTATAAATGTTATTTTGCCTTTTTTTAAAAATTCATTTGTTTTTAAAAAGCCAATCATGTAAAAGGTTACATGTTTGGATAATTTTATAATGTAAATGACAATTTTTTTTACCGATTATTTATTCATTCCTCTGTTTTCAGTGACCTTTGGTTGCTGCAGATGTTTTTAAGAATATTTTTAAAACATTAGTAGAGCAAAATAATGCACCAAGATCATTTCTAGTATATGTTGTGTTGAGAGACCGCGTCACATGTAGCCGTCTGTAAGATGATTTATTTTCTTTCTTTTCCAACAACTTGTTCCTTGTTTTCACTATGTAACATGATAAAAATAAAAAGATATTCATTGTGTAATTTCAGCTTTAAATTATGCCATTATTTTTGTTCTCATGATTTTTTTTAAGAAAAGAAAAGAAAAATTATTGCGTGAGAGCTTAAATGAAAAAAAATTAAGAGACTGAAGAGGGAAATATGGAGATGGAAGGAGAGAGAGAGAGAGAGAGAGAGAGAGAGAGAAACAGGTGGAGAAAGAGGAAAAGAGGTAGAAACAGAGAGAGATAGAAAATATAAGGAGAGGAATAGAGGGGAAGAGAGGAAGAGAGAGAGAGAGAGAGACAGGTGGAGAAAGAGGAAAAGAGGTAGAAACAGAGAGAGATAGAAAATATAAGGAGAGGAATAGAGGGGAAGAGAGGAAGAGAGAGAGAGAGAGAGAGAGAGACAGAGAAACAGGTGGAGAAAGAGGAAAAGAAGTAGAAACAGAGAGAGATAGAAAATATAAGGAGAGGAATAGAGGGGAAAGGGAGGAAGAGAGAGAAATAGGTGGAAAAGAAAGAGAGAGGGCAAAAATTGGAGACGGGGAGATGCAAAGATTAGGAGAAAGATAGGGGCATGGAGAAAGAGAGACATAAAGAGAGAGAGAGAGAGAGAGAGAGAGGGGGGGGGGAGAGATTAAAAGAGAGATATGTCAAAATTAGTCAAAACCAGTAGAATTTTAAAGCCCTGTAAAAGGCTGAATAAAATTGGAAAGAGGGAGATTGCAATTATTTATGTTTTCGACCGGTAGAATTTTAAGGCCTGTAAAAGGATGAAGAAAAAAATGCAGAGAGAGAGAGAGAGAGAGAGAGAGAGAGAGGAAGACATGCAACAGAGCAAACTGAACGAATTTTATTTTGTCTCTTATAATCTAGAAAACACAAAGTGGATTTCGTATATCTTTCAACCTACAGTTGCGTAATTACAATTTATTCTTTATTATATTTTTTTCCCACCATTAAAACAGCCATAAAGTAGCAATTCTAATAATAAAAAAACGCATTTCGCCTACCCGTTTGCCTGACAACGGCATAGTACAGACTTGGGGGTTTAGAAATTATTCAGTACTTTCGTGCCAAGAATATGGCTGTGCCTCGATCGGTGTCTTTTGTGTATAATAAGCTCTTATAATTATGGAGATGGATGGAGATCGGGAGGGAGAAAAAGTAAAAGGGTAGACAAACGTGAAAGGAAGGATGAAGGAACTAAAGCAGGCCATATAATTGGTTAAAGTATATGAATAAATCGATTGATTGTGTTAATTATATTTCATAATTTTTGTTTAAATGAGGTAAAAGGGGCAGTTAAATTATTTACAGAAGAAATACAACAAATAAATTGTATCCTTTTATGCATAATAATGTCATGTAGAAATGTTCAAAGAAATTAAATGTTCTTCAAGTGTTGTCATATTTACAACCTGTCACCCTTTATATATATTTCTTTTATATTAAATTTCGCAAAATTTGAAAATGGATGTAATCATATTCTTTTCTTGGTGTCTTGATGCTTATAAGTTATGCAATGTTCCCGGAGAAACACGAAAGCAGCTACTTTCAAAATTCAACCTAAGACAATTTTATTATACATGATGAGCGTCACCTGTTACATATTCATCCTTATTTTCCTCTTCTACCTCCTCCTCTTTTCTTCTCCTCCTTCTTCTTTTTCTTCTTGTACTCATTATCATTTCAATCATCAGTGTAATGCTGTTATTATTATTATCTTTAATAAGCAATTCTTGTTATCTCTTGAGCTTTCGTGGGTTATCCTGTTCAAGCTAACTTAATTTTAATCTGTTTTATTGTATATTATTGTATGTTGGAAGCTTGTCGAATAAAAATCGATCAATCAATCAATCCGAACATGACTTCTGTGGGACATACAATAAGATATTGAAATTGCCCTCGAGTTGATTTTTCGAAAATATTTGCACTGTGTTCAGTTATAGATTATTCAAAGCAAATAAAACCACGATTATCAACCTGTCGCAGTCGAGTAACCCCCGCAATCACCCGTGTTTAACCTTTTTCACAACCTTTTTCGACCTACAGCGCACTGGTCCGTGATTGGCTTAACACGCAACCAATCACAGCACGAAGCGTCACAATTTCCCCGCTTCCCAGCGGTAAGGGGTGACAGTCGAAGAGCAAACACACCAACTTGAAATGTCTTGCTTCGCCCCTTACAATAACCAAGTGTCGCATTTAGAGCCGTTCACTTTTCAAACAAATTCTACGTGAATTTTTTTCATTCATGTCAACCCAGGCTATAGATCCTACCAAATTCTTCATTTGAATTTCAAGAAAAGAAATACCTTCTTTTCGGCCATCGACTGGAGGTCTATATGAAAAGCGTTTCATCAGCACACCAGCCGTAGGGTCATCTTGAACAGGATAATACTGTTTTGGCTTCTACGACTATCAGTGCTCTGTCACTATACTGGTCAGGCTAGAGCATCAACGAATATTGGATATTGACAATCCTAAATCTTTTTGCGGATTCATTCTGTCTATTATCACGAATTCACAATAAAATATCAAACGAAGTAACATTAGAGCAAAATTCAGACCATTTCACGCTCTTTATTGCTTCATGAATAAGTTTCTTCAAACTGTAAAGCTTCAGTTGAGCTGACGTCTGATGACCTAATGCACTCGTCTCGATAAAACTTGAGGATAATTTTCGGAACCGATTTTGATATGGAATGATATTTGATTTTGAAAGATGTCTGTATCAAAGATCCTCATCATCTTGACTTGCTGGGTGAGTAGGCCTAATAATTCTTTTAATATTTTTTTACAGACCTAAGCCTACCACTCACTCTATGATAATCTTGCGATCTGATTTTCGAAGAAACAGCAATTATACAGTACCTCCCAGAAAAACGAAATCGAGAGTTATCGATGTTTTTATCATAACTTAATCACAATTATAATTCATAAATGACACATATTTTTAAAACTTAGACCCTCCTCTTTCATTTGCTGCGACTCATATTTCCATAATTTTATTAAACGAATCCGTTCCACTGGCTGCCTGCCCTAACAACAAAGAAGACGTAAGACTTCATGCAGACTTCACGATCAGTCATGCATAAAATCTTTTGTCAACTCTGTCTGTTGCTACGGCAGGCAGCCAGTGAAAACAAATTCGTTTAATAAAATTATGGAATACAAGCATTCCTTTAAACAAACAGAACTTTGTTATACCTGGCTCATTTTTCCTGATTGAGGTGTC